TCTCGGGTGTTTTTATGCGTGCACGTAGATTTAACGTATTCTCAGCGCCCCACAACCATTCGTTTCGTAGTTTACCCCCCCCCCACAACACTTTCCCCAAATCCTTAATAGCACGATAGAGCCTACAGATTCTAATGGATTTGTTTCAAATTTAGTGTAAAGTATTGGGGCCATGAGAGGGCACCTTGTCGTTCTGGAGTTGTCCACCCTTTCCGAAAAAATTAGAGGCTAAAGTTTTTAACTGATTTTGTTTTTCAAATGTGATGTGAAGCACTAGGACCTTTCGATTTTCAGTACTTCGCAAACTTCTGTTCGAGAGTTACCCTCTTTGTCCGTATTTTTTTCAATTGTGACGAGGAGAGGAAGAACCCTATCGATATACAGCATTCACCTTCTGTTCCGTAATATACCCCCCCCCACACACACACACACCCTTCACCTCCCTGGAAGCCTTGTTCACGTCATAGAGGCTTCGCTTTTACAATTTTGTGTGAAGCTTTGGGGTCATTCATATTCAATGGTTAGCGATCTTCCGTTCCGGATTTATACTCTCCATTCTTTGAAAACCTCGTTTTTAACGGATTTTCGATATTCAGTGTTCCGCGACAAAGATGACTGACCCCTGTTAATTTTCAGCAATATAAGGTTTTCTGTCCCAGAGATATAACAAGCACGTGAACCCGATAAAGATTAAATTTCTTGATGAATGCTAGATCCTTATTCAATTTATTAAACAACCAAGTTTTCCTTTCGAATAATTTGCTGTTGAGGCATAGATGCTGCGTGGGCGTATCTCCACACTTTGCGTGGCTATCGTTCAAATTCCTATTTTCCGGTAAACCTTTTGAACGCGTTAGAGCCCAGAGTTTTTCAAGATTTTTTATTTAAAATCTGCTCCGAAGCATTTGTGCCACAAGACAATAAACTCTATATCTAGCTTTATTCTAAAACAATATATGGTCTGAAAACCATGCAAAAAATGACATTTTCAATTAAACGTCGCCCACACATTAAATTGGAATAATTTAACAAGCATGTCTGTAATTCAAAGCTTCACACGTTAAAGCTAACGTGGCAGGGTTTTGAATTTCATATTTGGTGTGAAGTATATTGGGGCCATAAGAAGATGAACCCTATCGATTTTAATCATATTTCAAATTTAGTGTAAATCATGGGTACCCTATCGATTGTCCGTTTATTCTTTCATTAGTTGGCAGTTTTCCTTTGTAAAAAATGTTAGAGTACTTTTTTTTTATCAAATTTGATGCGAAGTATTGGGCGAATGGTGGCTTCACAACGTGGAGATACATGTAGTATCATGTAAAGTTTTATATTAACCCGGGATCTCGAGAAAATTTACATAAGATGTCAATATCTCGAGAACATTAACTCAAATTCTTGAGAAAATTTACACAGGATGTCAATATCTCAGGAAAATTATCAGGGGATTTCGAGAAGATTAAATTGAGATCTCGAGAAAATTAACAGGTGATCACGGGATTTCGAGAAAGTATCACAGGATCGCAGGATCTCGAGATGTTCTATAAAATTTTGCATGTTTGGCAGTTTATTAGAATTTCTTTACAGACTAATTATTTTATTATCTTTATAATATTTTCATAGGAAACATTTTTGAATATATGTATGTTTTAATAAAATATTGGTTTGTAAAGGAATTAAAATTAACAGCCAAGTATCTCGTTATCTCGTCAGGTAGCGCCTTTGTGCGTAGAATGTTTGGCAGTTAATTAGAATTTCTTTACAGACTAATCGTTATGTCCTCGGGTAGCGCAGTTTTGCGCTAAATTATTGGAAGTTAATTTGAATTTCATGAAAAACTATAGCGGGGACATCTGTAATAACGTTTTGTTATTGCAACCGCCTGACGATACCCATGGAGGGGTTGAAATAGTTATTCCACATTTGACGCCCATGTATAATTAAAACGAATTGCAACGAAAGCATACATTAATTTCATGTAAACAAAAAATCACATACACGAGTTATCTCCCTTCAGGCAAGTGAGCGTAAAACTCTGATTTGGGCTCAACGTTGCGAGGCTTTTAAATTCAACTAAATTGTTATTTTGTATTTCCAAAGTCGACAATTTGGTGTTATTGGGCAGTTATTGGGTGTTATTAATTTCTTGTCAACAAAAATCACATATACGAGTTATCTCCCTTCAGGCGAGTGAGCGTGAAACTCCGATTTGGACACAAAGCAGCGATGCTTCTTAAATTCAACTAAACTGTTATTTTGTGTTTCCAAAGTCAACATTTTGTAGTTATTGGTTGTTATTTTGGAGTTATTGGGTGTTATTTTGGAGTTATTGGGTGTTATTTGGAGTTATTGGGCAGTTATTGGGTGTTATTGGGTAATTTTGTTTTTCCAAAGTCAACATTTTGTAGTTATTGGTTGTTATTTTGGAGTTATTGGGTGTTATTTTGGAGTTATTGGGTGTTATTTGGAGTTATTGGGCAGTTATTGGGTATTATTGGGTAATTCGACGCGCCGGTACATACTGACCCACAGTTACATTTCTTTTAAGATTGAACCTTAGTAACTTTATGTAGATTGAGTATAGTGAAGCTGTATAAATGAATTCCAAAGTTTATTTGATCGAAGTTCAGATAATCTCACTCTCAAATAAAATAGATCCACCAACAAAATGAAATGAAATGGGGTTTAACATCCTACTCATCCACCAAATAGTATCAGACATCTAAAGGAAAGAGTTCCTAACTGGTCAAAGAGTGTCTTTCAGTTTCTAAAAGTCACAAATTTTGATGAATACTTTGGCTTGTATCTTGTTAAGAGTTAGACAAGATGCTTGTATCTTGTTAAGAGTTAGACAAGATGCATGGACAATTCCCTACAAAAAAGGTTGCTCCAGAGGAGAAAATAATCTTGTGCCCAAAGAAGAAAAAAGGTTTATCATAATACATGTATAGGCAAGAAAGAAGATTTTTTGATAGAGCATACACCTATAATCATGTCTAAAAGATTTATGAATCCAGTCATTGTTTTTTAAGGCGAGCGATTGCTCTCGAGCACGAGCGATTGCTCTCGAGCACCTGCTGCTCACCTGAATGTCGACCGAGGGGAGGTTTTTCTCCCTCTCCTTTAAACTGAACATCGCTCTCCTTTACAAAGTCGGGGGGGGGGGGGGAGGGTTATCAGGAATGACCACCTAACATGCAGTTATTGATCTTCAGAACCAATTCCCAATTTCCCATACACTCAACTAATCACTCTCCTTAATCAGATCACTCTCCTTAATTTCTAAATGAAAATCACTCTTCTTATCGAAAATGAGAGAAGTTTTTTAAGGGAGCGATTTTTTAATTTGTTGATTGAACATACATTATGCAAGAGGTAATTCTGCCTATTGCAGGTCTTTCTTTAGGCCTGAAATGTTTTCTAAAGTATTAATTAGACATTAATTAACTGATCCTGGCCTTAATCAACTCTCGATGGTATCAGATTTCTCTGGTATTAAATAGATTAGAATGGTTCAGCGATACTTTGATTTAATCAAATATGGAGGACCGAGACTTAGCTTCGATCAAACCTTCAAAGGCTAATATCTTCGCATGCAATAGAGTAATTTGAATGAAATTTTCAAATTATTCATTTTACATCATCTACTTTCGAACTATTATAGCACGAATGGCTAGTTCTTTATCTAAATCTTACATAATGTATCTTTAAGGGGAGTCTTTTTCAGCTCTCCTCTAAAATACAAACAATAACGACTGTGAATCTGTATTAATTCAAAAACAAATGTTTTAAAAATTTGCATGAAAGCTGTACTATCTTACTAACGCTACAAAAAGCGTAAAGGCTTGTTTAGTAGAGACTAAGGTGTGGTATGCTTCTTAATTTCTGCCTAATTTTACGTTAGTACATCTAAATATAAATATGACTTCAAACAATGGTATTCAAGATCAATACCCAAAGTTTTCGCATTCAGTACAGCAATTGGGCCATTGCTGCAGGAATGCTATTATACTGAATTTGATTCCCCATTATGATCCATGGTTAATTATTGGTCTGTTGTCAATGTTATGTCACACAGATCATGTACAGGATCAAAGTAATGTATGCCTACTGATATTCGTTCATTGTACATTAGGGGTGGCCAAACCTTTTCATTCTGTGGAAACTTTTCTTTCGGTAATTCGTGTTCATGCTAGAAGCCTACTTCTATTATACTGGTAATATTAAAAGTCATCCTTATTTGTTAAAGTAGCTAAGTCTCTAACTCTATATCATCCAAAGTCTTACACGTTGAAAACACGAATTATTTGTCAATTCAAATCAACATTGATGTTGTTATCTTACCGGGAACAGTCAGGCTTCTGATATCCAATATTTAAGACAAAATAAATATTTTACCATTGGTACACGAATCGTGTACCATAGTGCGTTGTTTCATCATCATTTGTAACAAGTGACCAGAAAGAGCGAGGTTAGACATATTCCACAACTCATGTCATGCGGCAACGCCGTAGAAATTTCTATTCGGTTGAGACTCATGCCGTATTTCGCTGGACATAACTGATTTGAAATTAGAGTCAAAACGGAAACAAATGAATGTAAATCAGTTCATATACAATCAGATTACATTATTAGCGATTTAGCTCCTTTAAGTTTAAAGATGGTCCCTGGTTCAATTAACACTAACAATAGCACATAACCATGTGTTATTTTACTTTGCCTATTCTGTTCTGAACATCAAATTTTTAAAATATTATTGTTGACAATTTTTTTTTTTTTTTTCAAATTTAACCCAATTGATTTTAGTGTGATTAGAGCGACATGAACAACTAAAGTATTGCTAAGATGAAAGACAGGTATGTTCATAAAGCACAAATCTTTGAGGCTGTGGACCACTCTTACTCTACCATTAACATGTAAACTCAAACTTCTAAACACCTGTCTTAATACAGTTGAAGTGTGATACAAATAATAATTAGGAAATGAAAACACATCTTAAACAAAATGAATACTGATTTATTAAATGTAAGCTTAAGAAAATTATACAACATAAGTAAATAATAACATGTAATTAATATTTATAAAATTGAGAATAACTTTCGGGTAATAATGGAGCAATGGTGGAGTCTGCCAAACTGGGGTTTAATGTCCTACTGTTCTGCTAATGAAGACGTGCATACACCATGCAGTGTACTATTTTGGGAAATTTTGTCAGGACAGTGGTGCACTCTTATATCGAATTCCATCTGCCGCAGGATCTTTTACGTGCACGCCAATCTTTACACAGGACCTCGGTTTTTGCACCACTGACAAGGGGAAACCACGCCGGAAATCCCAATTAACTTTCTTGGTCAACACCGGCAGTGAACCCGCGAACTCCAGGCTAGCAAGTCAGCATTTTACTTACTTAGTCACTGTGGCTCCTCCTGAATAAACGATAAGTAGTGTTGAGTTTAAGACTTTGCAAACACAATCAAATGCAAATGTAATTGGCACTATAATTTTTTTTAAAACCATACAGTGACATTTTATTGTTATATTTTGTCTGCATTCAACCTACTTTAAAATGCAATAATATTTTCTCAAAGTTTACAACATTTTAATGAAATCGACAAGTTATATTACAAATATGTATGAGCTCACTTCAAAATGTTTATTCATAATAGGTTTGACAGAGTTATAATCATGTAATTATAAAAAGAGATCAAAGAATAAAGAATATAAATATAAATTTAGTAGAAAGAGTATAATACTAATCACATTATATACAAGTATAATAAACCAGCAGAAGTTTCAGCAGATTAAAAGATTCTTTGCAAAAAATGCCTACAAGGGGAGATAACTTCAGTCCCTATTGTAAAATAGACTGCGCATTCCATAAAATGAACAAGGACCGATCTTGGTCATATATTAATTTAAATTTAACAACTTTCTTCATCTCACTAATGTTAACGTAACATTATGATAGTTAGCGCTCTGTTGCTAACTTCTTTTAAACAATTTAGACAAACAGATGAAATGAGTGACAAAATAATACCACATATCTTGCTCCGTTCACAGACCAGTAAATCTCTTTTTCTTCAAAAATGCAAAGCGGAATCCATGAAACGTACTTTTCATTATTCTGCATGTCTTTTATGGAACAATCTGCCTTTTGATATAAAGATGTGTAAAAATGTTGAACATTTTAAGATTGAACTGAAAACTCATTTATTTTGCACACTGAAGGAACCATAATATTCAACTGATGACATACTTATTATTTTTAACTTGCGACTGCATTCTATTTTATTTTCTGTGTAATTATAGTGTTCTTCCTATATCCTACTTGTATAATGTATACGTTTTGTAGTTTGGGAGTGACTTATCAAACTTCCCACTTTAAAATACTATTGCATTTCTAATGATTTTAAATTTATCCTGATATTACATGTATATATGTCTTTGTAGCTTAGGAGGGACCTATGGAAGATTAGTTTTTTGGGTTTTTTTGCAAACTAAATATGTTGCCTCATTAAATAAAGTTTTTATTATTATTATTATTATTATTATTAAAATGTCGGTCTCTTAAGACCATGGGTCTGATTACACCATATTTTACAATAGCAGTATCAGTGTAGAAATAATCATTTAATTAATTCAATAATTTGTAAAAGCCATTATGATTAGCACCATTTCATATTCAGAAATGTTAATATTTCAAATAATTTTTATCGACATCAAGATATAAATGTACACTATAACATGTAAAACTAATTATGAATACACAGGATATTCTGGAGACCATCAAAAGATCTGCTGAGTATTAATTGAATTTAAATGAATAACATTGTTATGACTATCATATTTTACCAAAACAGTGAGGAACAGAAGTAGGAAAATTCATATACACCTATATGAAAGTATGGAGGATAAATTGGGACTTTATTCTTAGATTTTACATACACAAAACATGTCATTTTTCAACTCAAATCTATTCACCTATACTAACTTGTTACAACTCTTTATAATAAGAGAGTGTATGATGAAACATCTCAACTGAAAGATATCATGGTATTAAAATATGATCACATATTTTTAACTTTAAGAAATATGTGAACAATCTGGCGTGTTGAGACTTACAGAACTGAATATTTAAATCTGGTGATATGGTTCTATTTGCGAAATCCAATAAAAACTAGAATTAATATAATATATGTGGGTTTATTAAATGATTAAAATTAAAGCTAAAGCTATATAATAGAATATAATATAATATCGTATCGTAATATTAATTAAATAATAACATACAAAAGCAAATTAAATTAGCAAAATATATTTATATCATTTCCTTGTCATGTTTTTAAAATCATTATATTTGGTCAAATTTGAAATTGTTCAGGAAGAAAAGGGACTTTGTTTATGGGTCATCTTGGCAATTATTTAAGCTTTTTGAACCATGATTAGATCTTAAATGTTAAAATTCTATAGATTAAACATTTATGCTAGCTTACTATTTCTCTCTGCTAAACATGCCAAAGGCATCCTGTGAGTGCCATAGGGGCAAGTAACACAAGGGGGGTTTTGGGGGATCTCCCCAATAAAATTGTGAAAATTTAAGTCAATTACCTGGCATTTGAGGTCATAGCTGAGAGCAAATTCTTATGAACGCAAGGATCAGAAATTGGACAGAATCTAGACATCTGCCTGTCAATTCTGCCTGTTTTGTGATAGTATAAGACTGCAGCTGAGTGAAAGAATGATGTCATACCATGCCCTGAAACAATTTTATATATCGACGCATAATATTTAAAATACTGAGCACTAATTTTTTGGGACTGGGCTGAGGGTTACTGCAGATTCAAAATGTCATCTCCAAGTTTTCCCATTCAAAACTGCGAATCAACCAATGTGGTTAAGAATAATTCCAAGAGCATCGCTAACGCTGCAATATACGTCCACATTCCAGCTTTGATTGATATGGTACTTTTTAAAATGAAGAGAATGAAATATGAGATGGCTGTAATATGACAATTATACTGCTCCAGGAAGTCGGGGCATGTACCAAAATAAATAGTTGCTGTCTTTCAGTATAAGGGATAAATATGCAAAGTTCCAAGATGATCCATTCAGAATTGCAGCCTATAGATGATAAATACAAAAATCGGATGTGGCTCTGCCCCTGGTGGTTGAATATGGAACAATATAAATAGGGTATAAGGAATAAGTATACCAAGTTCCAAGATAATCCATTCAGTATTGTGGCCTTCGCCCCTGGGGGTCAGGGCATTCACCAAAATCCATAATTGACGTCCTTAGGTTATAAGGAATACATATGCCAAGTACCAAGTTGATCCATTCAGAATTGCGGCCTGTAAACGATAAACACAAAAATATGGGCGTGGCTCTTCCCCTGGTGGTTGGGACATGCAGTTGTCATGCTTAGGGTATAAGAAATAGGTATGCAAAGTTTCAAAAGGATCTGTTAAGAATTGTGGCCTGTAGGCGAAACACAAACATTGGGCGTGGCTCTGTCCCTGGGGGTCGAGCAAGCACCAAAAATAATAGAGGTCAGCCTTAGGGTATAAGGAATAAGTATAAAACAGTTTTAAAGATGACTGATTAAGCATTGCAAGCTGTAAGTGACACAATAACACACAAAAAGAAAATGGGCGTGCCTCTGCCCCTGGGGATTGGGCATTCACCAAAAAATATAGGGATGTTCCTTAGGATAGAAGGAATAAGTATGCAAAGTTTCAAGGTAATATGTTAAGAAATTTGGTCTGTAGATGACAAACAAATAAATACAAGAAATGGGCGTGGCTCTGCCACTGGGGGACAGGCATGCACCAAAAACAATAGGGGTCATCCTTAGGGTATAAGGAATTCATACGCAATTTTTTCAAGACGATCGATTAATAATTGTGGCCTGTAGGCGATAAACAGACACACAAAAAGAAAATGGGCGTGGCTCTGCCCCTGGGAGTTGGGCGTGCACCCCAAACGATAGGGCTGTTCCTTAGGGTACAAAGAATAAGTATGCAAAGTTTCAAGATGATACGTTAAGAAATGCAGCCTGTCGATGCCAAAAAAATACAAAATATTGGCGTTGCTCTGCCACTGGGGGTCGGGCATGCACCAAAAACAATAGGGATCATCCTTAAGGTATATGGAATAAGTATGTAAAGTTTCAAGACGATAAGTCAAGCATTGCGCCCTGTAGGCAACATACAGACACCCAAAAAGAAAATGGGCGTGGCTCTGCGAGAGAGAGAGAGAAATGGGGTTTAACTCCACTCAACACAAACTAGGTCATTTCGGGACTAACATATGGTTTTTTGATTTTATTTCAATTATTCGCTTGCGCATAGGGGTCTTTAGCAGTGGGAGGAAACCGGAGGACCCAGAAAAAACCCACGAGGTTGGACAGGCGACCCTACTCCTTGTCACGTACAACCGGGGATTCGAAACCACGCCAGTCGACTCAATGACAGACTTTATGATACAGCGCGCGCACACTAACCATTCAGCCATCCAACCCCCCTCCCTTGGGGTTGGGCATGTACCAAAAACAATAGTGACGATCCTTAGGGTATAAGGAATAAATATGCAAAGTTTGAAGTGGATTCGATAAGAAATGCGACCTGTAGACGACAAAGAAAGAAATACAAAAAAAGGGTGTGGCTCTGCCCATGGGGGTTGGGCAATGGGCATGCACCAAAAAAAATAGGGAACATCCTTAGGGTATAAGGAGTAAGTATGTAAAGTTTCAAGACAATCAGTTAAGAATTGCGGTCTGTAGGCGACACACACGCGCACTCACCCACACAGGGGAGACGGCAATATACGTCCACATTATGAATGTGGACGTATAGTATAATAAAGTACAAAAACCTTCACATGTAATGCAGAATGTCATATTTCTCAAGATAAATAAATATAAAAATATTTCTATAAAAAAAAACAGCGGCTGCCAGACAGGATAAGTCCACATTTTGCAAGAGATGGATAGAGAACAAACTAAACAAAAAGTGATTTTTTCGTAAAATCAAGGGCCATAATTCAGGAAGTTATGGTACGATATGCACGCATACATACAAGAACCAAGATCTTTGGGTTATAAAGATATATTTCAAGTTTCATCAAAATCGGATCAACATTGTGACTTCTAGAGGGTCGACAAACTTGATATATTTACACTATTTGCGTACGAGGGGTGGCCATTTTGTCCGGCAGTTTTGGTCCGATTTTCACGAAATTCTAACTTAGCCATTATTAGGGTGTAACGGTGAAATATTCAAATGTTTTTTTCAATCGGATAAAAATTGTGACCTCAAGAGGGAACACAAACTAAAAACGCGATTTTTCGTATAATCAAGGGCCATAATTCAGGAAGTTATGATTCGATATGTGCAAATATTGAAAGGAACCAAGATCATTGGGTTATAAACATGCATTTTAAGTTTCATCAAAATCAGATGAACATTGTGACCTCTAGAGTGTTCAGAAGCTAAAAATGTGATTTTTCTTACAATCAGGGGCCATAATCCATGAAGTTATCGTCCGATATATGCCAATATCGAAAGGAACCGAGATCTTTGAGAGACAGACCTATATTTTAAGTTTCATCGTAATCGGATAAAAATTGTGACCTGTTGAGTGTTCACAAACAAATTGTTGACGGATGGACAAACAGGGGCGACGGCATAATACGTCCACATGAAAATGTGGGTGTATAAAAATGTACAAAAAGCACTTTCAACCAACCTGTGATCCACATTTATTAGGCTAAACATTCATGGCTGAGATACGGAGTGGAAGTGAATAATTTATAATTCTATACAGTACAGATATCTCGGAAATAGAATCACCTTTAAATTCCATAGATACTTTTGATTTGCTTGTAAGACACAAATTTGATTTTTTCATGGAAAAATTGGGAAATATTTTAAGTTTATATTGGTCTCTCTCAAACAAACATAGTAATAATAAACTGCCAGGTTTTTTCCCCCTAAAAATCAGTCATGGAGTATATCCTGTTTTGGGGAAGAGGTCTTGGATTCATACCAGAATAATGTGTCTATTTCTAATGAAATGCGTATATAATTCCTGATGATTTATTGCAAACATAATGAAAGTTACACATTAAAAATCAATTTCTTAAAGAGTCTAGATTGTATACTACTGGTACACTATTAATAACATTAAATTTAACATTTCTAAGACAATACTAAAGTAACATGTAAAAATTATAATACTTTATAAAATAAATTGTGGTTGTTAGACTTCTGATGATGATCCACCAATGGCTCCCCCTGTAGCCCCAGACATTAATTTATCTGTTTCATCATAATGACATTCAGCACTTGTATCAACATTAACATAAGTACTTTCAATATTTCGTTTCTGTGGACCTGTTTTGTGTTCTAGTTTTTGTATCATATTACTAATTTCATTCACAAGATCACTAAAAGCAGGTCGATCTTGTGGATTTGCATTCCAACATTGTCTCATGATCTCAAACCTGAAATAAAGTTAAAGACAGGAATTCTTTTTTTTATTTGTGCAAGTGTAAGATTGAGTCTACAGTAAATATGATAATTTTATTTTATTGTGCTAATGATTTAGTAATTATTAGAAGCAAGCCCAGATCTCTCAGGATATACTTTGATAAAGGTCGGTTTAAGTAAGAAAATCAAACACCAACGTGTGGAAAAAATAGCCCAATTACCAAGTCTTAAATTTTCAAACCAAAACCATTTGGAAATGATCACTACATTTTCTTAACAGGGCCATACATTTAAGAAATTTTACTGTTCAATTGTATAGGTGTCTTGCAATTTACAAACATGACAATCAGTTGCCACCTTAATTTTTGCAAAAATATAGCTATGATAATCAAGGCACTTCTATAATGTGCAATTTGGGGACTTGTTATAGTCTGGAAGTGGTAGAAGGGTGAAAGAATCCCTGTTACAGTACAAGTAAGTCTAGATCTCAGTGTTACAGTCGGGGAAGAGCAGGTAAAAATCCTGGTAAATAATCTAAATAAATTAATCTCTGTGTAACAAACTTGACAAGACTGTATAAAGTAAAGTGATTTAATCCAGGACACATTTTGAGCTATAGTTGATGAACGACTGTAGCCAGAAACCTGTTTTGGATTAAAACGTACTTTACTTATTCAGATTTGTCAAGTTTGTTGCTCAGGGATTAATTTATTACTCTATTTCCAATCTAAATGATATAATACTAATATTATTTTCAGTCTCACTTCCTTGTGAACTCTTGGTCATGAATTGTGATGAAACTGTCTTTGAATTATCAATAGGTTCATAAATATAACAATAAATGTTACTTACAAAGGATCAGGACAGTATTGGGGTTGAGCCATTCTTCTTCCAGCCTTTAAATAACGTATAACATCCCAGTTATCTACCTCGGGATACGGATTAACTCCCCTTGTCATCAACTCCCATAAAACTACACCAAACGACCACTATAATAAAATACAAAATAGTTAACTTATTGTAATTAAGTATAATCATATTGACATGCCCCTGTGCAGTCTATCTTGAATAATATCGCTTTTTTCTGGTCATTATGTCTAGTATGTTTATCTTTCAAATGCTTTAAATGGGATGTATTTAAGGCAGTCCTACAGAAAATGAGTAGTCAGTCACACAATCAATTAGGAGTGTGCATGTATTAATTCGAGTATATAATAAAACCACCATTATTTTACTAACAACCGGTGCTTTTAACATTTTTAGGCATGGTATGATTTCAATTATATTTAATCAAATGTATAGAAAATAATATATGATTTAATTTTCAAGCATAAACTCTCAAGTACGATATGCCTTTAATAATAATAATATCAATGGAAAAATTGTACTAATTTAATTCTAGTAGCCAAGGTTATAATTAATATTACAACAAGACTGCTAATTCTGAATCTTTATTAAGACAATAAATCCTGTTTGTCATTGATTTGTATTTAATACCAGCGGCTGCCAGGCAGGATACGCCCACATTTTCGAGAGATGGGTAGAGAACAAGCTAAAAAGAAAGTGATTTTTCCTACAATCAAGGGCCATAATTCAGGAAATTACAATTCGATATGCGCAAATATCGAAAGGAACTGAGATCTTTGGGTTATAAACTTACATTTCAAGTTTCAACAAAATCGGATAAAAATTGTGACCTCCATTGGATCCACAACATTGATCTATCTATCTATATATATATTTGTGACTGTCGTTTGTCTGTCTGTCTGTCTGTTCGGGGTTGGCGGCTACACTAGGTCTGCCCCGAGTCTGAAATTTGGGGTATAGGGGTAGCTCGGACCGGGGAGTAACATAGGCCAGGTGGCGTTACTCTACCACTTCCGGTTTCGGAGTTATGACCCCCGAGCGAAGTCCGTCTGTTCGGGGTTGGCGGCTACATCTGCCCCGAGTCTGAAATTTGGGGTATAGGGGTAGCTTGGACCGGGAGTAACATAGGCCAGGTGGCGTTAGTCTACAACTTCCGGTTTCGGAGTTATGACCCCTGAGCGAAGTCTGTTCGGGGTTGGCGGATACACTAGGTCTGCCCCTAGTCTGAAATTTGGGGTATAGGGGTAGCTCAGACCGGGAGTAATATAGGCCAGGTGGCGTTAGTCTACCACTTCCGGTTTCGGAGTTATGACCCCCGAGCGAAGCCGGTCTGTTTGGGGTTGGCGGCTACACTAGGTCTGCCCCGAGTCTGAAATTTGGGGTATAGGGGTAGCTCGGACCGGGGAGTAACATAGGCCAGGTGGCGTTAGTCTACCACTTCCGGTTTCGGAGTTATGACCCCCGAGCGAAGCCGGGTATCCTGCTAGTATACCATATTTTTACACTATTTGAGAACGAAGGGCGGCCATTTTGTCTGTCAATTTTGGGCTAATTTTCACAAAATTCGCACTCAGCCGTCCTGAGGCTGTAACGGTGATATAATAATACGGTTTTTAAAATCGGATAAAAATTATGACCTCTATAGGGTCCACAAGCTAAAAATGCGATTTTTCGTACAATCAGGGGTCATAATTCAGGAAGTTACCGTCCGATATGCACGAACATCGAAAGGAACCAAGATCTTTGGGTTATAAACTTATATTTCAAGTTTCAATAAAATCAGATTAAAATTGTGACCTCCATAGGGTCCACAACCTTGATATACCATTTTTACGCTATTTGAGAACGAAGGGCGGCCATTTTGTCTGTCAGTTTTGGGCTGATTTTCACGAAATTCGAACTCAGCCTTCCTTAGGGTGTAACGGTGATATAATGATACGTTTTTTTTAAATCGGATAAAAATTATGACCTCTATAGGGTCCACAAGCTAAAAACGCGATTTTTCGTACAATCAGGGGCCATAATTCAGGAAGTTACGATCCGATATGCGCGAATATCGAAAGGAATCGAGATCTGTGGGTTATAAACTTACATTTCAAGTTTCAACAAAATCGGATAAAAATTGTGACCTCTATAGAGTCCACAAGCTAAAAATGTGATTTTTCGTACAAATAGGGGCCATAATCCATGAAGTTTTGATCCGATACATGCCAATATCGAAAGCAGCCAAGATCTTTTGGAGATAAACCTATATATCAAGTTTTGTCAAAATCGGATAAGAATTGTGACCTGTAGAGTGTCTACAAACAATTGTGGACGGACGGACAGGGGCGACGACAATATACGTCCACATGAAAATGTGAGCATATAATAAAATTATTTAACTCACCACATCTGATTTAGCACTGTACGTTCCTTTTTCCAAACTTTCCATTGCCATCCATTTTACTGGTAATTTCATTTTTTTATTGTCTGAACTGTAATAATCTTTTTCATAGATATCTCTTGCTAAACCAAAATCAGCCACCTTTGCTCGGAAATCTTGATCCAACCTTCGTAATGATAAGTTAAATCAAATAAAATAGACTACAAAAAGTTTATAGACAATGTTATAATCTTATACCAAGAAAACTAAGAGACCTTCAGAATTTTTGAGACACACGTGATCATACAGTCTATAGGAGAAATCACTCAAAATTATAATACAGGTTAGAGAATTTATCAATCTATTCAAATTGTATATCCACATTATATAGTAGTTCTCCATGTTGGCAATAAAAAATTTACTGAGCCATAGACGATATTTAGAAGTTTAAATCTAAATTGAATAGGAATTATGGTTAGTACTATAAAAAATATTTTAGTTTAATGTTTATATTTGTTTTGTTTTTTTGTGATACATTCATTGGCTTCTGAAATTAAGCCATCGCAAGCACGTCACTAAATTCGGCAATGCAACTTTAAATCTATTTTATGTTTCCAAGACAAGTCTAAAACCAGCGGTTGCCAGGCAAGATACACCAATATTTTGCAAGAGATGGATAGAGAACAAGCTAAAAAAAAAAAAAACCTGTGATTTTTCTACAATCAGGGACCATAATCCAGGAAGTTATGGTCTGAAATGTGCAAATATTGAAAGGAACCGAGATCTTTGGGATATAAACATAAGTTTCATCAAAATCGGACAAAAATTGTGACCTTTAGAGGGTCCACAACCTTCGTATTAATACTTTTACACAATATGCGCAAGGAGCAGCCATTTTGTGGGGCAGTTTCGTTTTGATTTTCCCCAAAATTTGAACTCAACCTTCATTATGGTGTAACGGTCATATATTTAACGGTTTTTAAAATCGGATAAAAAGTGTAACCTCTAGAGATTCCACAAGCTAAAAATGTGATTTCAGTAAGTTATGGTCAGATATGTGCGAATATCCAGAGGAACTGAAATCTTTGGGATATAAACATATATTTTAAGTTTCATCAAAATCAGACAAAAATTGTGACCTCTAGCGGGTCCACCACCTTTGCAATATATACCTTTACACAATTTGCGTTCAGGGAACGGCCATTTCGTCAGGCAGTTTTGGTTCGATTTTTATGAAATTGGAATTCAATCACCATCAGGTGTAACGATGATATATCCAAACGATTTTTAAAATCGGATAAAAATTGTGACCTCTAGTGGTTCCACAAGCTAAAATCGCAATTTTTTTCTTACAATCTGGGGACATAATCCAGGAATTTACGGTTCGATATGCGCAGATATCAAAAGAAACCGAGATCTTTGGGATATAAACACATGTTTTGAGTTTCATCAAAATCAGATAAAAATTGTTATCTCTAGAGGGTCCACAACCTTGATATTACATACTTTAACACTATTTGCATATAGGGAGTGACCATTTTGTCTGGCAGTTTCGGTCCGATTTTCACGAAATTCAATTTTGACCATCATTATGGTGTAACTCTGACAGATTCAAACGTTTTTTTTAAATCAGATAAAAATTGTGACCTCTAGAAGAACCACACGCTAAAAACGTGATTTTTTTGAACCGATATGAGTCAATAACGAAATTAACCGAGATAATTGGTTATAAACATATATTTCAAGTTTCATCAAAATTGGAAAAAAATTGACCTCTAGCAGAGTGTCCACAAGCTAAAAACGTGATTTTTCATACAATCAGGGACCATAATCCATGAAGATACGATCCGATACATGACAATATCAAAAGAAACCAAGATTTATCGGAGATAAACCTATATTTCATGTTTCGTCAAAATTGGATAAAAATTTTGACCTGTAGAGTGTCCACATGCAAATTGTGGACAGACAGGGGGGACGACAACATACATCCACATGAAAATGTGGGCGTATAACAATTAAAGGCCTTAAAGACTAGTATGTCATTTTGTAAACAAATACTTTTAGATAGGAAATTATGAAAGAAAAATTTATTTCTGTCATGAGTAAAAGATTTATTTATTTTATTTTTATACTCTTGGGGAAAACCATTAAAATAAACAATGGGTGTTATATTGTTAATAAACTTACATGCAGTTTCTGGCAGCTAAATCTCTATGAACAAACTTAAGGCCAGCTAAATATTCCATTCCCTTAGCTATATCTATACCGAACAGTATTAGATCTTTAATTGTGGGGTTCTGAAATAAAACACACCAATAACAAACCAAAAATAAAAATAAGCAAAACTTTAAAAAAAAGCAAATAAAACAAAATTATAAAAAATAAATAAACCCCAGTTAATTCTAGTAATAAAAATTAAAAGCAAATAAAACAAACAGCCAGACATTAAATACACTGTTACAAAGCTATATTTCTGTGAATACAAGTAAAATATGTAACCTTAATGTGCTGGTTAAATTCAACACAAGATCACGGAATATGTATAATGACTACCACCAGAACTTTGTATGGGGGCTTTTTATAATTTGGGGGAGTCAGGAGCAACATTGGCATGTACCAAAAGTGATTAATGTTTGTGCACTGGCAAAGATATTAATAGCATAACGCTTCTAATTAAACCCAGAATTATGTTTTAATAGTAGAGGAACATTTTTGACCAATCAGAATGATCACAATTCCGGTGATTGCACTTCTCTCTTGGTTTTTTGTTGATGCATGTCAGTAAAAATAAATAATTTCTGTGGGTGCAATAATTATGTATAAATATAGTTTGCCAGGCAATGAAAACTATGCCCACAGCAGCTAAGTTATCCAAGCAGTCCAATAGGTTGTTGATTGTTTACTCATTTGTACTAACTTGTAGGTAATGGGAGCGTTTACAAGACACTGATCAAGAGTAACAAGTAATTATCAGAAAATGAAATGAAATGGGGTTTAACGTCCTACTGTTCTGCTCCAAACTGAGCTGATAAAGACGGGCATACGCCATACAGTGTGCTATGAGGAAATTTTGCCCGGACAGTGGCACTACAGCCTACTCTTATATTGAATTCCAACTGTCAGGGGATTTTTTTTTACGTTTACACCAATGTGTACACGGGACCTCGGTTTTCCGTCCCATCCGAATGACTAGACAGCTGTCCTTGCTTGTTAGGCCCTCCGTCCTGCATCATTGACAAGGGGGAACCACGCTGGAAAATCCTCTGCCAATGCAGGGATCAAACACCCGACCTCCAGGCTAGCGAGCCAGCATCTTACCCACTTAGCCACAGTGACCTCTAGTAATTATCAGATCTAATTCAAGATTGATTGGCTTGTAGTTGTTCCTAGAGCCAACATGTACTGGTAATCAGTTCTGGATTACTGATATTTTAACTAGAGTAAACTCCTTATCTGTATTAATGATGTCTTAACAAAATTTGTATTCTTAATCTTATAAATTCTTACATTAGTTTCATCTCTGATGTAGCTGAGTAAATCACCGTGTTCCATAAGCGGTAGAATAACAAGAGGCATGGCATCTAATCCAAGACATATCCCAATTAATTCTAGAACATTCTCATGATGAAAATCTTTCATTAATAGAGCCTCTTGGAGAAAAGCATTTAGCTCTATTTCACGAGGATTACTCTCTGAAAAACAAATTGTTGGAAAGTATGTTTTCAATATCCATACATCAATTCAAGTATTTACACATTCCACATGGCCAATACTTTGAAAGTTAATTAGAGCAAATGTTTGACAATACATTGGTCAGATTTGAACTTGTGAAATCAAGGACAATATAAAAACTGGTACAACAGATTAATTTGTTTGTCTACGATATCACCTTAGGTGGAAGTGGACGTAAAACACCAGAAACGAACGAAAAAGATTAATTTGTCATGTGTGATCATACATATTTGAACCAACATCATCAAGTTTCTGTTAATTATAGAGTAAAAATGTAGCGTTTACTTACGATGTAAAGTTTTAACAGCAACCAATATATCTCCTTTTTGTTCAGACAATGTAAGAAACCCTTTATATACACAGCCAAAATTACCTACATAAAACACAATACAAATAATTCAAATACTGTACATATCAAAAACCATGTCCTGGATAGTCAATAAAATAGCAGAGAGATAACACAGGACTCTCACTACAACACCAGACTATTATTCTCACCTCATTGTTAAATCCATGCCATTTTTGGCCTATGACAGTTTTTCGAACATTTTGATGATCCTATCTTGATAATGACAAAGAGCTCAATGTGTCAAAAGCAACTGATAAAATATTATAGAAGGTAGTTGAGCATCTCATTTTCAATTTTATATCTACGCCAGGTTAAAGGCATCCATAGACTGTGACGTTATTTTCTTAATCGATTTCCCTAATTGTTCTTCTTATGCACTAATGGAAAATATAAGCAATTTTTTTTAAAATTCCTCTATCGAATAATTTTGAAATTTAAATTCAATTATCTTTTTAGTGTGTTTAATCTTATAAAGGCAATAATTTAAAAAGACATTAAGGGTTGAGTGAATACTAGTGCTGGGTATTGCCACGGCAGTCATGATACAATACATATTGTAATTCAAGTACTATGATACGATTCGTATCATGATTCATAACCAGGTCAATATTTATCAAGAAAACAACAAGATAAATGAATAATTGATATTTTTAGTCCTGCCAATGTCGAAGAAATTAAACTGTTTTATATCCCGACATTGATGTAGATCAAAACAATGACCAAAATCATTTAAGAGTGTTTGTGTGGATAATGTGTGACATAGATAATTAAGAGTGACAGGTTACTTACTGAAGCGACAAAAAAAAACATAATGCGAATAGTGGAGAGGTGAATCGCGATACATCAATTGAATGATATATTATGCCAACAATATATTGTGGTGCCAACAATATATCGTGCAGGCACTAGTCAATACTACATCCATAAGTGCTAGTTTTACCTTTGCCCAATATTTCAGTTTTAGTTAAATGTTCACTGTCTATAAGCAGATTTTCATTTGTTATTAAAGCTAACAGATCATCATCTATAAGGGTTGAAGGTGCAGCTGCAGCAATAGCATCTCTTTCTGTATAATCTGTAAACATAATATTTCTATATATGATTTTATGTTTAGTTTGTTAAAAGCAATGTTATAATGTAGCAAAGCGGAATTTTAATATGTTTATAGGTTTTATTATGTCAAGTAATATAGTGTATTGAGTGAGTGCACCTTTAAACTAACAAACTGACACTAATTTTAATTGCAACTGGTCTATAATAACATCTCTCCTTTAACTTGGCTTGTTAACCTGTACTGTTTTCTTAGAGCCCAAATCTTGGGGTGAGTACAATTCTACTCCCTTGGTTACAAGCAAGTTTTCTTTTTATCTGAACCTCACTTTAGACATCAGACATTAGATAGATTTCCAAGTGTAAGGACAATTTGATATCTTCAATCAAATTGTTTAACTTTATTTTCCAAATCTAGTTAGGTTATTTTTCAGAGAATTGTTCCAGTTATACTACTTCAGTATTACAGGTATGTGTGCTAATTCTCTTATTTTGGGTAATTGGGGTTTAGATGGAGCGGATGTAGGAATGATAGAAATTGTAATATTAAGCAACCATTTTATTTAAATAGATAGAAAATAACATGTAAAGATCATTAGTTTTTCATATATACATATATATAGTAGATTATAAGGTACCGTTTTGAAAGTATATTGTATGTATAATCAGAATAATGTTATTTTCCAGAATATAGTTATCTGAAGATTTTGTTCACCATCTTGATAGTCTTATTTAAAAAACCCTTCTTTGGGTATGTTATCAATTACTTATATTATATTTAGTATAAACTTAAGGCCTGTTTAATATGTTTAATTTAATTAGTGATGTATTTTAGTGTATAAATTATTGATATATTTCATTGAGTACCAATATGCATGCCTTACTATTATTTTATTGTACTCAACTGTTACTGTGATATGTATATTAATTTTAACGTATATATATTTCAGGGTTTTTAATAAAGGTTTAAAAACTAACCACCTTAGTTTTTATTGAGAATTTACACCCCCCCGGTTACATTTTGGCGCCCAACGTTCTGAAGACAAGGTACCTACAGACAGAGTTCCAGAGGCCTAAAGATTCGCGTTCGCGGGATACAGCTGCTGTTTCATCGGTGGATCTTTAGAGACATTATCAGTGTTAATCTCATACTTGTGTTTGTGAAATTCTTTTGGATTTGTTCGGTAGGCCTTTACTTTAATTTACTATATTAATTATTATTTAAAATACTGCAATTTTTGTTTTTCTATTTTCATAATCTAAAAGATTATATATTCATTATTTACATAGATTATTTCTGGTTAAAATTGGATTTGACCCACTGACATTTTTGTTGACTTCCTGTTTAGTATATAAGTCAGGTCACTGTGACCAGTAGGTCAAAGTCAACAACTTGGTATTTGGGCAAAGTTTGATTGTAACTATTCTTTATAGCAAATACACATATTAGAACTTCATATTCAGTATTAGGTTTTTCATTGATTAATTACTTCTTTTATTTTATATAGTTAACTTCTTCACAATTATATTTGTGAAATTATTTTTTTTCCTTTGACTTTTAATTTATTACATACTTGTTTATTATCCTACTTATGAAATATTGCATACATTTTCCACTTTTGCTTTTAAACTTAATTATCATAGAGTGAAAGGGTGTGTATTTGGGTTGGTTATATTAGGTGGGATCGCGAGCACACATACCTGAACTTAGGGTTTTATATAGGATTTGTTTATTTAGTTTTTTTTTCAGGACAGACTTACTTCACTTTTCTTTCAGTCTTTCATTCCATTTTTTTTTCAGTTTCTCCCTCAAATAACATTGTCCATTATTGTAACACACACATATTCAGCACTAACATATTTTGCATTCACAACCCTTGTATATGGTATAAATATTTGTATATATTTATAAATTGTTTTATGATTGTCACTGATTGGAACTTTGTTTAATTCGTCTTCAGTGATACCCCTGGTGTAGATTATTTATTTTTCAGGTTTTGATTTTGAAATTGTGTTTTGGGTTGATATCTGATTTGGTTTTGTGTACAGTATTTTTTTTTTTACTTCTATTTGATTTTATATTGAGTTTGATTTTGTTTGCGCTCTTGTTTTTGTATTGAGTTTTGGTTTTGAGTTTAAGTTTGTCGCTTGTTGGGATTTTGACTTAGACATTGACTTTACATTAGACTTGACATTACATTAGACTTGACTCTGACTTGTGACTTGAATTCAACTGTTTACTTGGACTTATTTAATTTTTATTGGGATTTTGGCCCTTTTCTTGGGTTGATGTTTTATTGTTTGACACTTGTACTGAATTGTGAAATTGATTATTTTCATTTTACGAGTTTTGGATTCAGGATTTGTTTTATCAACTTGTGATTTGGTGTTTGATTATTTTGGTCAAAAGTGTTGTTTTTATTTCAGCTGTGCAATGGCAGAATCATTTTCCCCTGAAGAAGCTGATAACTTGTTAAAAACTTTTCTAGCCATGGGTGTTAAACCTAAAGCTTCCAGTAAAGAAGACCTTGAGAAATGGATGAAAGATTATTTTACAACAAAGGAAGAACTTCATCCCTCACAAGAACATCTACCAGCATTAAGTCGAGATAAACCACGCGAAGACATTAAGATGCTGCCAGCTTTACCCAAGGTGTCATTTTTCTCTGGGGATCCAGCATCCAAGTCTGAAGTTTCTTTTGACGTTTGGAAGTTTGAAGTTGAGGAGTTGGTTCAGTCAAGTTACAACAAGGGACAGATTCGACAAGCCATCTTTAAGTCATTACGTGGTGAAGCAGGTAAGATAGTGATGAGGTTAGGACACAGGGTGGAGTTAGATCGTCTGTTAAAGAAGCTGAACAGTGTTTTTGGACGTGTTGAGGAGACACAAGATCTGTTAGCCGAGTTTTACTCTACGGTGCAGACTCCGAAGGAATCAGTTGCAGAATGGGGTTGCAGACTTGAAGATATTCTCCAGAAAGCTGTTGATCGTGGTGATGTTTCACAGGATGCTACCAACGACATGTTACGTACAAGATTTTGGAGTGGACTTACAGCCAGTATTAAACAGCAAACTGCGCATAAATACGATCGTATTAAAGATTATGAGGAATTGATGGTGGAAGTGAGAAAGATTGAATCTGAAGTTTATTTGTCATCATCGGAGAAAAAAAGACCATCTGCATCTCATCATATTAAAGCTGTAACAGAAGACAATTAAATGAAGAACTTAATAGCATCTTTAACACAGACTGTACAGGCACTTCAGAAAGATGTAAAAGATCTGAAGAATAATAGACCGGATCAGAGTAACAGTAGACAGGAACACGAGGAACCTACATGTTTTAGGTGCGGTCAAAAGGGACACATCCGTACAGGTTGTCGTGTTAGACTTAACAAGGATTTAAACTGCAAGAAGTCTTTGTCGAAGGGCAGACAATAGGCTTGGGAACTAAGAGCCCTGTTAGTTTATTAGGGAAGAGTAATGTAGCTCTAGTATTAATTGGTAATTTGGACTGTCAAGCATTGTTGGACAGTGGTTCCCAAGTATCAACGATTTGTGAATCGTTTTTTAGAGATAACCTTGAAGGGGTTTGTGAGCTGCAAGGATTAGATACTTTGGTGAATTTAGAAGATGCTGGAGGAAATAAACTTCCATACTTAGGTATGATCGGAATCGACATTGAAGTTCCTAGGATGACATCAGCTGCAATACCATGTATATTTTTAGTAGTACCAGATACATCATACCATCAGATCACACCAATACTGCTTGGTACTAACATTTTACAACATCTTTTGGATACAGTTATCAAGAAACATGGACTTAACTTTCATCGACAACTTCAAGTGGAAACTCCCTGGTTGCTAACATTTAAATGTCTTAAAGTTCAGCGAAATGTGTACAAACAAGATAAGTGCGTGGGTATTGTGAAGTGTGCTGAACGAAATTCTATATTGTTACACAGCAATAGATCTACAGTTATAGCAGGAGTGGTTACTGCTAAATCAAGTGTTCACTGTAAAGCGATGTGTCAACGTTCTACACAGTCCAAGATACCAGACACTGTTGAAATTTCACCTGTTCTTGTCGATTTTCATCCAGACAATAACGATCTTGTCTACATCAGAATTTCAAATCTATCCACTCATCCAGTTTCAATTCAACCACAGTCCATTATATGCGAACTACAACCAGTAACCATTGTAAACAGTATCAACAAGAGTAGTACATGTTCTTCTGTTCAAGTTGGAAGTGATTGCAGTATTTTGGATAAAATTCATCTTGGATCAGCACTTACCGTTAGTCAGTTAGAAGGTGTTAAGGATTTTATCAGTGAATGGTCACGCATTTTTTCTCACAGTGATACTGATATAGGCTGCACTCATATGGTTGAACATGCTATTAACCTAACAGATGAAGTACCATTCAAGCAAAAGAACAGAAGAATACCACCATCTATGTACAATGAAATAAGAGAGCACCTTAATGAATTGTTGACTGGAGGAATTATTCAGAAATCGCAGAGTCCTTGGGCATCAAATATTGTTATAGTGCGGAAAAAAGACAACTCCATTCGACTATGTGTTGATTATCGACAGCTGAATCAACGTACCATCAAAGATGCTTACGCACTTCCCAGAATTGAAGAAATGCTAGATAATATGGTTGGAGCTAAATATTTTTCAGTCCTTGATATGAAAAGTGGATACCATCAGATTGCGATGAAAGAGTCGGACAAGGCAAAGACAGCATTTACAGTAGGTCCTCTTGGGTTTTATGAGTATACATACATGGCCTTCGGATTGACCAACTCACCAGCCACCTACCAAAGACTGATGGAGGAGTGTTTAGGAGAGCTAAACTATAAGATCTGCATGATTTACCTTGACGACCTGATTATTTTTTCATCGACGTACGATGAACATCTGGAGCAACTGCAACTGGTATTTAAAAGACTTGAAGAATGTGGATTGAAGCTTGCGCCGAAGAAATGCCATTTTTACCAACAGGAAGTTAAATATTTGGGCCACATAGTTTCCGCAGAAGGCATAAAGACTGATCCAGCAAAGATTGAAAAGGTCAGGGACTGGAAAACACCAACAACCCCAGATGAGGTAAGGTCATTTTTAGGTTTTGTAGGTTACTACAGGAGATTTGTAAAGAACTTCTCTACAATTGCCAGACCTTTGAATTAGCTTTTAGTTGGACCAACTTCCAAGAAGAGGGGGAGGAAGACGTCAGATGACAAGTCAACACCAAAATGGAAATGGGGACCAGAACAAGATAGCTCTTTTGAAGAACTGAAGACATTGTTACAGTCACCACCTATTCTGGCTTACCCAGATTTTTCTAAGCCATTTTTGTTACACACAGATGCGAGTGGACGAGGATTAGGCGCTGTTCTGTACCAATTGCAAGATCATAAAGAACGAGTAATTGCATATGCCAGCAGAGGATTATCAAAATCAGAGAAAAATTTTCCTGCACACAAGTTGGAATTTTTGGCGTTGAAGTGGGCAGTGACTGATAAGTTCAAAGATTATCTCTACGGGAACACCTTTACCATCTATACAGATAATAATCCACTTACTTACGTTCTCACAACAGCAAAGCTTGATGCAACTGGTCACCGTTGGTTAGCGGATTTAGCGAACTACAACTTTAACATCAGGTACAACCAGGAAAACGGAACATCGATGCTGACTGCCTTTCAAGAATACCCAATCCACCGGAGGATACTTACAAGGAGATGAGTCCCGATGTTTTCAGAGCACTCAGTGAATTCCGAAATGATAATGGCTATGTGGAGTGTTTAGCGACTCAGATCATCCCAGGTGTTACTAACACACAGATGTTTCCTGCTCATGAAATAGACTGGATGAAGAAACAACTAGAAGATCCTATGATTGGACCCCTTCATCGAGCAGTGAAGAACAATGAAAGACCACAGTCCCCACCCAGCAATCGGGAAGAAGCCATCTTTCTTCGGGAATTCGACCACCTCACTCTGAAGTCAGATGTTTTGTACCGAAAATCTGTTGTAAGTGGACAAGAAGTTCTACAACTGGTGATTCCTTGTTTGGATAGAAAGGTAGCTCTGCAAGGTTGTCATGATGATGTTGGACATCTAGGAAGAGACAGGACGGTTTCTTTACTGAAGGAACGTGTGTATTGGCCAAGAATGACAGATGTAGAAGATCACATCAAGACTTGCCAACGTTGCATAATGAAGAAGTCTCCAACCAATACAAGAGTTCCATTAGTTAACATCCATATTAGTCATAACCGACCACTTCACCAGATACGCCCAAGCCATAGCTACCAAGAATATGACTGCAAAAGTAACAGCTAAAGCTTTGTTTGAAAATTTTATAGTTCACTACGGGTTTCCAAGACGTCTGCATAGTGATAAAGGAGGAAGTTTCGAGAATAAGATCATCGAAGAAATGTGTTTACTAACAGGAATGCGGAAATCCCGTACAACACCTTATCACCCTAGCGGCAACGGAATGTGCGAGAGATTTAACAGAACCCTTTTGAATATGCTTGGAACTCTTGAGAACATCGAAAAAACAGATTGGAAGACGCATTTACCATCTTTAGTGCACGCCTATAATTGTACCATCCATGAAACTACCGGTTATTCACCTTTCTTTCTGATGTTTGGGAGGAAGCCTCATCTTGCTGTGGATGTTTTGCTTGGTTTAGTTAATCAAGAGTCTGCAAACAGCTACAGCAAGTATGTCGCTGATCTCAAAGATAGTTTGGAGATGGCTTATCTCAAGGCTTCTTCTGAGATTAGTAAGGCCCAGTCACATCAAAAGAAAGTTTATGACCGGAAGGCAAGGAATTCAATCTTGGAAAAGGGAGATCGCGTGCTTGTGAAAAGACTGTTTTTCAAAGAAGGTAGACACAAGATATCTGACAAATGGGAAGATTGTGTCTATATTATAAAGGAACAGCCCAATCAGGATGTACCGGTGTATGTGCTGCAGCGGGAAAATGGAACTGGTACAACACGTACATTACACAGGAACCATCTTCTTCCCATAGGGACTGTACCTATAGAATTATCCCAGCCGCCACCAGTACCAAAACCTAGAAGGAAAGTAACATCTATTCCTGAAATAATTCCAGAGGAACCAGGTACCTCAAGTGATGATGATCTGGAGATTGTTATTGTGGAAGGGAATGATGTAATCGATTCCCCAGCTAGCTCCACAGTACCTCTCCGTGTTGAAGAAGAACTGGAATCTCTATCCAGCCCTTCATCTGAGGAACCAGATGTAGATGAGCCTGTACCAAGGAGATCCTCAAGGAATCGACAGCCACCAGCCCGTTATCAAGACTATGTATTAGCCCAGACTTCAACTTCTTCTGTTGTTCAGTGTCCAGCTACAGTCTTGGCGTTGCTGCTGTCGGATGATTTTATAGGTTTACCGTTTGAACAACGTAAAAGTCTAAGTAGTGTTTTAAAGTTGACTTTTGGTTTTTAGTGTTTTAATAGGATGTCGGGACGACATTTTCTTATTGGGAGGGAGTATGTAGCAAAGCGGAATTTTAATATGTTTATAGGTTTTATTATGTCAAGTAATATAGTGTATTGAGTGAGTGCACCTTTAAACTAACAAACTGACACTAATTTTAATTGCAACTGGTCTATAATAACATCTCTCCTTTAACTTGGCTTGTTAACCTGTACTGTTTTCTTAGAGCCCAAATCTTGGGGTGAGTACAATTCTACTCCCTTGGTTACAAGCAAGTTTTCTTTTTATCTGAACCTCACTTTAGACATCAGACATTAGATAGATTTCCAAGTGTAAGGACAATTTGATATCTTCAATCAAATTGTTTAACTTTATTTTCCAAATCTAGTTAGGTTATTTTTCAGAGAATTGTTCCAGTTATACTACTTCAGTATTACAGGTATGTGTGCTAATTCTCTTATTTTGGGTAATTGGGGTTTAGATGGAGCGGATGTAGGAATGATAGAAATTGTAATATTAAGCAACCATTTTATTTAAATAGATAGAAAATAACATGTAAAGATCATTAGTTTTTCATATATACATATATATAGTAGATTATAAGGTACCGTTTTGAAAGTATATTGTATGTATAATCAGAATAATGTTATTTTCCAGAATATAGTTATCTGAAGATTTTGTTCACCATCTTGATAGTCTTATTTAAAAAACCCTTCTTTGGGTATGTTATCAATTACTTATATTATATTTAGTATAAACTTAAGGCCTGTTTAATATGTTTAATTTAATTAGTGATGTATTTTAGTGTATAAATTATTGATATATTTCATTGAGTACCAATATGCATGCCTTACTATTATTTTATTGTACTCAACTGTTACTGTGATATGTATATTAATTTTAACGTATATATATTTCAGGGTTTTTAATAAAGGTTTAAAAACTAACCACCTTAGTTTTTATTGAGAATTTACACCCCCCCGGTTACAATAAGAAAGCCACATAACATGGAAATATGCCCACTGTCGCCACATAGCAACAATGTCTCAACAGCAGCTTAATTGGATGTTGACCAAATTTGATATTTCAGAAAAGGAACTGATAGTCGCTGAATGCTGAATATCCTCCTCTCATGACCAAAATGCTTCACACCAAATTTGAAAAATATCTGTCAAAAACTGTAGCCACTGGCCAACTACGCACTCCCAAACTATGTGTGGGCATATAAAAATGCATTCTGCAGTTCTTTATAAGAAGATTTATGAAAACTATCAATTTTTAGCCATTTGTGTGTCCCTATACAAACAATCCACATTCCAACAAAATGAGAAATAAAAAAAAAACTTACTGATTTGTCTGTTTTCTAGGTTAAAAGTATGTTCACCAGGTTGTGTTAAACTATCAATACCAATATGATCACCTTGTGTATATCTGATACTACGATCATCACGTGGGGGTTTAAAGAAACCAATACGTTTTTTCTTCATTATACATAATATAACGAAAACGGCTATACAGATTAAAGCTATTATTACACCCAGTATAACAAGTTTATATGTTGAAGCTGATGCTCCTGCTGTATATATGACAAATCCTATTTCATAATGAAGATTACCAACATGAACCTAAAATACACACAAATATCATACATAATTTCCTGACATAATAATCTCAAATTAAAAATCAATTGACCAGTTTGAATAATTTTTATTTTATCTGTTTCCATAATTAATTTTTTTGGGAAGAGATGTTAAAGGAGCACTCTTACATTTCATCTGATATGAAAACTTGAAATTTACGATTACAGTAAATGTAATAAAATAACCTTTTTACCCTGTCTGAACAGAGTTATTCAACTGTTTACATGTACTGAGAATTGTGATAAAGGCAACTCATCACTCCGGGAAGCTAACAGACATGGACTGTTATTCAGCCATTGTTGCAGCTGTCAGATTGGAACCTTGTCAATAATGATAATAAAAATGATTGTATTTTTTCAAAAAGTTCTCTCCGACAGCTGCATGGGATTATTCAGGGTTTTTTCACCAAAATATATCTGAGGCAGGTCATATTGTCATATCTATCATAACATCAAACTAACAGGGTTGATAATTAGTAGTTGCCAACTGGTCTGAGGCCATCATTTATATCTAAAGGAGGCAAAGGATTTTGAAATAGTATGCCGCTATCAATTGGAATTTGAGTATGGCTTATAAATAAGATATGGTGCTCACCACTTGATTAATATATAGAACAGCTGATACCACTTCACATTTGAGGCATTCAAATTTTTGAAATAAAATTTGGTATGGGTCAGTTGATAAATCAATAATTTGACCATTGCAATTTTAGGTTAATGAAACTGTACTAACCTCTACTTTTCTCTTGGGTTCATTTTCACTTATAGATGTTGGTTTATTACTCGGAATACATTTAATATTAGTTTCTTCTAAATCTTTTACTTTACATATATCATCTCCTACAATAACTTTTATATCTGTCTGTGTAAAACCTAATCCTATATTATCACCCTGTAAATAATTATATCCTTTATCTAAGTAAAACTGTAAATCTATATATAACAAATATAGTTTACTCCCAGGAAGTCTCTGTTAGGGTCCATAGAAGATTAAGAACAAATATTCTCTTGTTTACCCAATACATGTAACCCCCAACAGATAACTAACAACCCCCTTACAAAAGCTGCAAACCAAGTTATGCATTTGCCATTCTGAATGATATTACAAATTGAAAGATAGGTTGCCAGGCATGGAAACATTTACCTACAGCAGGTAAATCGACCAAGCAGTCCACAAAGGTTGTCACACTGTTGATCTTCAGGTAAATAGAAAGCAAATTCTTTAAACTGATAATATCATTTCAATGTTGACAAATTTTCTATGATATAATCAAGTGTAATAACTCTATAGGCAATTATCAAAATGTGTTGCAATATAATTCTTCTCATTGCACTAATCTGAACATAAATTTCAAGCAGACTGAATGTCAGCTATTGTTGCCAATAGACTGCTCACAACATTCCACAAAGTGATCAGAGATAATAACTCTAAAAGTTATCAGAAACTATTGCAATTCAGTCAGATGATCAATGTAATCTGTAAGAATAATGATGACTTGATAGACAAATGATACAGTGAGCGAACAAGTAAAAAAATAATTGAACACTTTTCTACAATATTAATTGGTAGTAGTGAATAAATTTTAGACGAATCAACAGAAGACAATAATTATCCTCATTGTAAAAACACTTTACACCAAAAGTAACAACACTTTTTTAAGCATTTAGGGAATATCACTGGAATTTTTCATAATCTATATGGGTTTTATATTCTACTCTATGATGCCGTTTCTATGTTGTATGATATAATCATATGGAAGTGGTTAACAGGCAACAATATTTAACACTAAGTTTCAACTTACTTCAATGAGAAGATTTGATTGTAAAATATCAAACTCTAAAACATTCCAGTCTCCACGAAATTTATCAAACACTGGATCAGGATAATATGTAAAACTACTTAATTTTCCCTGTGTTTGATGAAAGTTGCGTAAATTTTCCACACCATCCATAATAAACCACAAATTGACTTCCACTGGATCTGTTTTCTCTGCATTGGTGATGACAGAACTAAAATCAAGAGCTGGACAAATCATAGCTTCTCCTCCTTCCGTAACATTACAAAGCTACAAATACAATACTAAAGTTACAATATAAACATAACATGTAGAATATAGCAGAGAAATAATGCATTGATAATTATAAAGGTCAAATTCTATATAAAATGTGTATTTATTCAGATAGTTTCATTACAAATACAGCACATACAATTAATTTTTAGGAAGAAAAACCACTAGTTTTAATTAAATGCATTTATATAATTGATCACTGTCATTTTCCTGTTGTGTCGATGGCAATTAAGTTCACCTTTATGTGGACCTATATTATTATAGTTTCCTTTTTAACATTAGGAGTACTGCACTACATGCAAAACAAAACCAACAAGACAAGACAGACATTACAAGAAATAAACAACAAATATCAAATCAAGTGAATGGATTGTTGTTTCTTTTTTATCTAATGTATGTATATTGTATCAGGATTATATTGTAATAAACTATAACACATACTTATGGAAGAACAATTACTGATTTATTTGGGCGACGTTTCGAAGAGTATTCTCTCAACGTTTTCAAGCAAGTCTTGAAAACGTTGAGAGAATACTCTTCGAAACGTCGCCCAAATAAATCAGTAATTGTTCTTCCATAAGTATGTGTTATAGTTTATTGCTCTATCCAGTTACTAAATGCCTCTAAAAGATGATTATATTGTAACTTTAAGTGCAGTTGAATTTTCGGCAGATTATCAAATAACTTAAATCATTATTTTTATTATATGAAAGGACTGTTGAGAGTCCTATGGACCCTTGACACTTAAAACAATATATGTAGTGACTCGTTAAGTCTGAGGATTTAAAAAATATTTTTTTAATATGTGAAAACAAGAAATCATGTTGGTGCCTCTGAAGAAAGTCAAAATTTTAAATTGTCCATTCCAGCAGATCAGACAGTCAGATGATAGCCTGAATTGATGACATAACTTGATAAATGGTTTGATAAAATAAAGTGTTACTACATTACCTCTTGTTGTGTTAAGTCTTTCCCATCTAACGAACCTCCTATATACGGTCTAGCTACTGAATCCAAGTTAGATCCTCTCACAGTTATTGGTATACCACCACTACATGTATAGAAAATATATAATAAAATCACTATCCAAATTCAATACACCCATTCCAAGTGTATTTGGTTACATATTGATGACGACAACATTTTATAGAATTACAGAGAAACTATCACTCCCGCCAAAAAACCATTGAATAAATTTAGAATAGCATCATACAGTAGTCATTCACACAGAATTGACACTAGATTTTAAACACTTTTCCAGACTAAAATCTTACCTAACAAAAGATTGACGTGGTAAAATATGATCAATTGTCGGGTTTTCTAAGTAGAAAAAGTCAGTTCCTCCATTTTCATCAATACTTAAGGTAGCATTATCAATTTTTACCAATAGTGGACCATATCCTTTAGCTCTATTTATAAATCTTTTTCTTCTTGATGATATGGAACCAGATGTTTCTGGCCAAGGAACAGTTGTACAGTCAATCTGTGTACTAGTTAAACTAAATAAAACACAGAAAAATATTCTTCTTCTTAAAGAGTTTTTACATTTAACTAATCAAAACATAATTACCGGTATGTTTTTATATAGGGTTGGTCATAAGTCCTTAACTGCACATTATCTAAGTGCTGGATAGTCATATCTATATATCTGCCAAGATTATGTGGTAAATGATTGAACAACAATTTGTAAATGACTTGATTTAAAGCTTCCAAACAAGTTAATTGGACTATTTCTTCACATTTTGGTATTTGCTTTATTCATACCCATTTCTATGAACCAATACAATGCAAAATCTGAGACGACTTCTATAAACAACTTGTCATTCTTGAACATAGAAATAACTACCAGACTATTTCATCCATTGTCAAGCTTACCCTCAGATAAACAGTTCGATAACCAATGTTAATACTCCATGTGTTTTAAGGTCTCTCTACCAGTGATGGGATTTTGCCCGTATATTCCGGACTTGTCCGAATCTTTTTTCCAAACGCCAAAAATTGTCCGACCGGGAATATGCCCAATCGGACATCAAGACATGGTGAATAATATTCAAAATTCCGAAATTAATATAGTTTACTGAGTGTATAACTACCACTCAACCAGATTATCGTCGATTATACGCTGGATTGATTAGGTAATTAAGTGATCAACGTATTTATCGTGTTATACGGCCTATAAACCTACTCTGATTAACTACTTAATCTGCCTTGATTGACTGACTTAATCCTTTGTCGGACAATTCATCAATCTAATCTTAAACAGAAGCCATTGTTTTCCCTTTGTCGAACTATTCATCAACCCATTATAATTTTAATCTTCGTGTTGGAAGAGAGCGTTAAATAAAGCTATTTCACACACACACACACACACACACACACACATATCCGAAAAATACTAGACATCGCTAGCACGCGTTTACAGCACTCGGTAAACCTCGGCAGATTTAGTTACTCTACATCTAGCTTCGGCTGTATGACGGTAAGTGATATGTACCTACGAACTTGCCGGTTTTAGTAAGAAGTTATCAAAATTGCGTCGTTCGAAGCGTGTTCAGAATTTTCAAAGCAAAATTGCCGGTTTTAGTAAGAAGTTATCAAAATTGCGTTGTTCGAAGCGTGTTCAGAATTTTCAAAGCAAAGTTGTCCTTGTTTGAAGAAAATCTGATTAGGTACATATCACTTACCGTCATACAGCCTAGGTTTGCCGAGTGCTGAACCGGTATTATGAAATGAATACGTGACTAAATTTACGCTTCTAATGTCGAAGAAAAGATTCTATTTTGATGGCCCATTCTCGGATTTATGATCATATTTTGAATGGGGTTTATGTTTTTAACCAAAGAAATAAGTAATCTAGGCAATGTTGACGAATATGTCGATTGGAATAGTGTAAGTACTTAATTGTTTTAGACGATAGCGCGTGCTAGAGTAGAATGCGATTGTTTAGTGGATGGTGTCATTCCTCGTTGTGGTATAGTGAAGTTTATTGCCCAAAAAATTTCGGGATATCATATTCTCCTCTGCTGAAAAATGTAGCGACTTATGACCCGAAAATACGGTAATTTTGGAGGAATTTGAAACAGTACAGATCAGCAGTAGTCGGCGCGCTTTCATTCTATCGTATTACAAATTTTGTAGGAATATTACTGACATAAATCTGAATACCGTACGGGAATTAAATATGAAAAATAACGAGGTGCACCTATTTTTATATTACGGACAGATTTGAATATTTTGTTTACACGTGATTTTTGTGTGTGGTCTAAAAATTGCCATCTTAAATAACGATAAGAGTTATGTCCCTTTATTTTGGGTAAACATGTCCGACAAGAAAAGTTTTTAAATCCCATCACTGGTCTCTACCACTAAATATCCAAATTATTGACAAATTCAGCTATGACCATTTTAAAGTATAATTGGCTTACTGCACTCACTTGAAAATGATACAAGTAAAATTATCAGCAACAGACACATTTGGCAATCCTCCTATATTCAAATTATCTCCCTTGATCCTTATGTTAGTCCCTCCTGCTACAGGCCCTCGTTTTGGTTGAAAAGACTCTATTTTTGGTTCCTGGAAAATAATGAATAATTAAAGTTTTGAGGAAAATTCAGAATGTGTATATCAAAAAATCATTACTGGGGAATTTGGGGCTTACAAATTATTAATAGTGGTATATCAAGAGATTAAGTCTTATTAAGCCAGACCTCTCGCAATCAAAACACTACTTCTTTCACTGCCTTGCCCACAAGTATTGGAATCATTGTAGTAATAGCAAGGTTACTGCATGGGTCATGGATCAATCACTGCAATTTAATGTTTAAACAAGAACATATTTGAATTTATTTTCAGCATTATATGATTTACAGTCAATGAAACAGTTATTTTGAAGGGTAAATGTTTTATTACCTGATAAGAGAAATATTGTTCAGAGTAATCAGTGCCTTCTACATGGTAGCTTCTACCAAACGTGGTACTACCTGTAACTGTTATCTGTACTGGTCTCTGTTGTACAGGAGCAGGACCAGTTCGACATATTAACCTATTTAAAAATTTATATTATCAGTAAAAACACTTAAGTCTAAAAAGTCAAATGCTGAAAATAAAATACCAGAAGTTGCTCCAAAGAAAGAGCCTGTTATCATGTGATGTAAAACATAGACGGTGGCTCCTCACAAGGCTGGAAAAGTCATCACAGTATTCAGATTTAACAGTAAGTCAAAAGAGTAATAAATTTATTCAAAAAGTTTAAAAAAGGTTATTTAAGAAGTAAATCTCAAAAACTAACACTGATATGTTTACATTGACAGGGGCTATAAAATGTCAATAAAATAATATGCTAAACAATCTTAAAAATATAAGAAAACTCTGTGAATGGTTTACTAGATTTAGAAGACAGTGACAAAAGATTTATGTGTGACTGATTTGCATTAAGGAGTCTCCTCATGACTAGCCAAACACGCCAGTCATGCTAATGTGCCCCACCTCAATCCCAAAATAAATAAATGACACATTAATTAATTACATATTTTTTTTTGTTTAGTTTTGAGCAATAAACTTAGATAAAGCAGAATGGTTTTGATGTAGTGAAACTATACCAAGTATCATCACTCTCCCTCAATTCAAATGAACATTATTGTGTCTAGAAGCATCAACCAATCAAATTGCTCATGTTAATCATCAAGTCATGACATTACCTTAATGAACATCTACACAAACAGCCCGTTCAGACACTTATTTTTAAACCAGTTCATAATCGCCGGGGTTTTTAAGACAGCATCGTGTTGCGTTCACACGTACTATAAGCCAAACCAGTTTAACTATTCTGACCTCTCCGGTCGGAGGTTAGAGTTAACTAGCATGGGTAGCTTCGTATTCTTTATTCAGCTCTAGCACGCTTTCGATAACATTGGCACTGTCTGACCCCAATATTTTCACAGGAATGTAACTTACTGCGTACAGCGCATGCTCAAAGCAAGCTGGAGCAGGTTTTTTTTTAAGCCAACCCGTTCAGATGGCTAAGATGAACCAGTTTAAAATAAAAAGCCTTCTCGAAGACAGGTCATGAGCTGAAGTTTTTAAACTGGTTTATTTGCCCCATATTTGCGTTCAGACGCTTAAGTTAAACTGGTTTAACGATCCCTGGGGTTTTTAAACCAGGGCCCTGTTTCTCAAAATCTTAACTGAAGATAAAATCCAAATTTAAGTAGATACTTCAATTTTGATTGGCTAAGCGTTAAAATCAATCTAATATTATCCAATCAAATTACTAAAATTTGGATTTTATCTTTGTTAAAATCTCGTGAAACAGGCCCCAGTTCAACTTAAGCGTCTGAACGGCATATAAGTGTGAAAATTCTACCTCAATTAAAAGCAGAGTTATTGTGTTCCAAAGTCTTAACCAATCAAATCAAAGCATTAGCAGAAAATTCCCACCATCAAACTTAGTCATAGTGAATGATATACTGGTAATATGGTATTTTATAAAGTGAAACTTCCTTACCATGTTGAATTCCAATTTTCAATGTCACATTTTATTTTAGAAATTTCAACAGTCAGACTGGCTTTATCTTTTAATATTGCGCTTCCAAAATTTTGACCAGTCAAAGTCAATAAAGTTCCACCTTGAGTTGGACCATTTAGAGGATTAATCTAGAAAATAAATGAAATGGTCTACAATCCTTGTCCTATAAAGTTTACACTGTAGGCAATCATCTCAGGGTCAACACTTCTCTATCTTGTGTCTAGTCTGATAGGTTTATTTATGGGAACAATGCACATAATCTGAATGCCAGTGTCCCTCTCCTTAAATTCGCTCTATTATCTATAGCACTAATGTATTTAGAAAGATGTGCATTCCCGTAATAAGAAAACAACTGTTCTAAATCTTTATCCTAGTCCTGTACAACTATGTAAAGCACTGTGAAGAAATTATTTAGTTCCCCAATATCATGTTGTGTAAGTGCCTGGATAACCATGTTTATATATAGCCTATACTTGTCGTAGTCCTTTCACTTTTCAAAATATATTTTTCTGTTTGTCTAAATAATGGATAAATATAATGCTCATATGAATTAATAAATTTGAACTAAACAAAATTTCCTCAGCTATTATTTATTTTAGAAACTCTCTCATATGTCAACAAGCTTGATAACTTTCTGTATTAATTATGAAGCCTAAAATACTTAAAAGCCTGTACATAGCAGATAAAGAATCATCTATAAAGTATGTACATATAATGTTCTGTTTCCTGAGCCAAGCAAACAAAGGTTTGAGAATTTTTGTAAAGATACATGTATGTGTAACTGAAGAAAGACCAAAAGGTAAACATGTAAACACATAAACTTGATCTCGCCATTTGAAACGTAGATATATTCGATGATCAAGACAAACAGGAATCGAAAAATAAGTCCCTTTAATATCAATGGATGTTAAAAAAAATCGTTCCGTTTAATAGCCTTAGGGCAATTGCCAGTGTTTCCTGCTTAAACAGTTTTTTTTTTTTTTAATAATAATAATAATAATATAACTGTATGCTGATGATACAGAATTGATGGCTTTCTTAAATATCATTTAAATGACTTCCTCATCCATTAAAGACATCTGTTTATGATTAAAAGGCAGGCTATTTGGAATAGCCTTCAGAATAAATGAGTTGAATTAAAGTCAATCTTATAACCACTAACAATATTCACTGATCTGAGGTAATAGTGGCCCAGTAATATATAATTTTGTCCAGCATAAAATATTTATTACTTTCCAATGTCTAGTGGTAGTTTTGGCGAGGTAATCTGCCTCTCGCCCTGTTCCAGTTGGAGATGACAGCCCTTGAAGGGCCTGCCGGAACAATCCAGCCGGACAAAGTGTCAACAACAGGCCTTGTTGTTAAATGTATTGGGTTCTACCTTTTGCTGCGATATTTCCCAAGAAATAATCTATGCTTTAGAGACAACTCTAAATGGGCCTTTCCTAAGGTTATGATAGAATCTACAATAGAGGACTACCTCAGGGTCAAAATTTTTATTTAAAAGAGGTATCAGAGGGCATAAACCCAGACATAACAGTTTTAGAACCTCCTGAAGATAACAATCCTGAGCCGCTTAGGGCAGGGTATGACAAATATCCTGGTCCAACAAAGGTGGCAACAATCTCTTGCATTTAACTGATAGAGGATAGTAGAATGTCAATTACTTTTTGTCAACCCTTTTTATTGGTATCTTGGTTGATCACAGAATCATTAAAGACATCATCACCCTAAAAGATTTTGGGGATGTCAAACTTAGTTTCTTGTGTTTACTCCATGAATTCATCATACAAACTTTGAGGATCCATGATATCTAAACCTGATTCATTATTAGTTACCGGTACTTAAAATGTTATTGTATACTTTTTATCTTCATGATGTACTGATACCGCATCTTCAAAACCATGTCATGCAGGTCTATTAGCCGACCTAACAGACTGATGAACATCAATTACCATCAAGACTTTGATTTTAAGATGGATTGTTATATTAAATTAGTGAAGATTGGACATCAAGGAAACCTGGTTTTGAAGAAACTCAAATTCATTTTTATCTACTAAAATGCCACCACCTGAAAATATTACTTGCATTATGATTTAAGCCTATAGCAGTGGCCGTTACGGCTCATTTTGTTGTAACGACATTATTTGTTGCAGGCTTATTAATAACAACCTTTTTATTAGATCTACTTATATACTTATTATTACTACTAGTATAAGGGTAACCCTCTTTACTATTGTTAATATTATGTTAATAATCAGTACCGGTAATAATGCAAAATAATATTACTTGCACTATGAATATGATTCAAGCCTATAGCAGGGGCCGTAACGGCTCATTTTGTCGTAACAACATTTTTTGTTACAGGCTTCTTAATAACAACCTTTTTATTAGATCTACTTATATACTTATTATTACTAATAGTATAAGGGTAACCCTCCTTATTATTGTTAATATTATGTTAATAATCAGTACCGGTAATAATGCAAATTAATATTACTTTCACTATGATTCAAGCCTATACTATAGCAGGGGCCGTAGCGGCTCATTTTGTCGTAATGACATTATTTGTTGCAGGCTTATTAATAACAACCTTTTTATTTGATCTACTTATATACTTATTATTACTACTATATAAGGGTAACCCTCTTTAATATTTTTAATATTATGTTAATAATCAGTACCGGTAATATAATGTTAACATTACGATCATCATTAATTTATTTTTTTTTTCATTATGAACATGATCATATATCAATCAAATTCTGTCAACTCAACACAATTGAATTGGATAAAGTTACAAACCAACTATATTATTGGCGTTCAATTCTCGTTTATGAGATTTAAAGGCCTTTACAGACCTTTTAGCGGAAAAAATCCTGTTATTACGCTCGTTTTTACCTATGGGGCATGTTAAAAATGTTATTATCGAGTTCGGAATCGGAAGTATACCTCCATCATCGGACTGCTGTTGTAAACATCCGGTTTATTCTCGATTGTCCCACTCATGGGGAATATATACTATTCAAAAAAAGTAGGGGATATTTGATTTTGGGGGCATAATACTAAAATATGCAAATGATAACGAAAAAAGTCACTATAGAACCTAACAGAAGAAACATTTCCAGTTACATGTGACGCCCAAACGCACCAATAGCTACCGCATGGAATGCAGGTGATGCTTGGGATCATCATGGGGGTCCAACCCAAGATTTGCACGACTCTGACTTTGAATGTTACAGTCATTGTGACATTGAATTCCAGGGTGGAAACATCAGTTTAATTGTTTTAGTGACCAGAAAACAAATTTTGATATGCGTCGCGGCTTACCCAAAATGAAAGGTTACGTGCCCTTGGCATGCTACAGATCGGCACAACACAGGCGGTTGTGGCGCGGACGATGAATGTTTCTCAGTCTGTCATAAGCAGGCTACATGGTCCAGATACCGTGATACACAATCTGTAAAGGACAGACCACGCTCAGGTCGACCAAGGGCGACAACTCAAGCCCAGGATCGATTTATCCGTACCTTGGCCTTGAGAAATCGTGTCATCACAGCAAATCAGATCAGCGCTCGTCTTCAAACAGACACTGGTGTGAGAGTGAGTGGCCAGACGATTCGGAATCGACTGCATAGGGGTCACCTTCGCGCCCGACGTCCTCGCGTGATACCTTGTTTGAGAGATCATCACATTCAGGCAAGACGTCGTTGGTGTAGGGATCGTCAACACTGGGATAATCGACGCTGGAGCAATGTCATGTTTTCAGATGAGTCAAGGTTCACTGTTGATTTTTTGGACAGACGTAGGAGGGTGTGGCGTCGTCGAAACGAGCGCTTCCAAGACGTTAACGTCATCAGACATGATCGATTTGGGGGTGGTTCTGTTATGGTGTGGGGAGGCATCACTGTTGCTGGAAGAACGGCTTTACATGTTGTTGCAGGGCGTGTTACAGGCCAGTACTACCGGGACAACATCTTGGCAGTCCATGTTGTGCCGTTCGCACGACGTCATGGCCGCCGTTTCATCTTCCAGGATGACAACGCAAGATGTCACAGGGCCAGGATCGTTACAGGTTACCTCCAACAACAGAACATCACCACATTACCTTGGCCAGCACTGAGTCCCGACCTCTCCCCCATCGAGCATGTCTGGGACATGCTTGGACAGAGGTTACGTCAACGTCAACAACGTCCTGCCAATTTCCAAGAACGTGCTGCTGCGTTGCAACAGGAATGGGACAATCTGGACCAAAATGACCTTAGACGTCTCATTAGGAGTATGCCACGTCGGATCAATGCTTGTTTGGCAAACAGAGGAGGATTTACCCGTTACTGACTTGGTTGTGATGCTGTGGTAACTTTGCTGTTTGACCCCGGGTATCATTTTACCCTTATAATGGTCAGTCTGTGCCTTACTTAGTCTAACGATCATTTGGAATAAATCGATGAATGTGAACTTCATTTCATTTTGTCATTTGTTTCTTCGTCAGTTTCATTAGGTGACTTTAATAACACTTAAAAATCAATTATCCCCTACTTTTTTTGAATAGTATATTATAATCTCTTGTCTAAAAAGGCCGTATAATAATTACGACATTTAAATCCAGCAAGTTTGCGGTTACATTATGATCATTTAAAAGATCTGCCTCGCAGAATCCCTAAAAATCGCTTTCCTCCATATAAAGAGTGAAATTTAAAGTCAACACTTCGTGATGACCGCGACTAAAAACAAACAAAAAACAGGTGAATTAGCGATTCTACCTCATACCTGTCGATGAAAACGAAGGTAGATAATATAAATGGACCTAAAAATACAGGTCCATGATAAAACATAAATGATCAACACACATTGAACACAATGGAAAGAAAATTTAAGAACATGATAACAGCGTTATCACGAACACACGAATGTGCACGGTCTAGATCAAAAGAGAAAAAGACAATACTGAAAGTGTTGTGATCGTTTATATAGAGCGTGGTCACGTGGTCACATGTTTATACACGCCGATTCGGTGAGCTATTTTTTAGCCTTTAAAGTTTGAGCGATTGTGCATGGTTTGAAAGAACAATGAGAAATATGCAATATAAATCCGAGATGCCCGAAGGGCATATATGGAATATAATCCCCCTCTCATCCTAGCGCCCGAAGGGCGTGATGGATGAGAAGGATTATATGAATATGTCAACAAGCTTGATAACTTTCTGTATTAATTATGAAGCCTAAAATACTTTCTGTATTAATTATGAAGCCAAAACTAAAAAAGCCTGTACATAGCAGATAAAGAATCATCTATAAAGTATGTACATACATATTTGTAATCATTTTTTCATACATGATTGTGATCTGTTTGCTTCCAGACTTAATAGACATTTAGAAAAATGTTTCTTGACATCCAGACTTTTTTTTTTCTAGCATGCAATGCTTTTTCTATATATGTATCAATGGTTCTGGAAAAGGTATTTCAAAACAGTAGATCAAGCAGCCATTATCATTCCAGGCTGGTCAACTCCTGTATGGTATCCAATTTTACTATCAATGCTCACAGCCGACCCAGTTCGGTTACCGGTTCGCAAGAACCTTTTTACGTTTTAAGCCACAATGGTGCTTTACATTCTCTTAGAGGGAAAAATCTATATCTAACAGGCAATCCTTCTATAATAGAGGAATATCAAAGCAATCTGCTAATATCATCCTTAATTCTTGGCGGCCATCTACTACGAACAGTATGCATTGGCCTGGCTGGAGAAGATGAAATTTTTGGTGTTGTGGACAACAAATTAATTCATTTCATCCATCTGTAGTTTTATAAATTTCTTAGGAGATATGTCTAACAATTTCCTTATAGGGTAAAAAACATTATTTGATTCTCTGTAACTCCATAAATATCTGTTTACTTGGAATGCTTCAATATTAGTAAATTATTTGGGTACGCTGTATCCATTGCAAAATTTATCTTTAAGAATACTGACATATAAAACCAGTTGGTTTGTTGGCTTTAGCTACAGCTTAGAGATGTCAAATTTTAACAGACTTTTGCCTTAATGCTTTATATGATTCAGGCTCTGTTATAACCTTGGGAGTAAATAAGGTTTCGAAAATTTCTCGACCTTTAACACCGTTATTCAGGGTTAAAATTCCAAGTTTTTAAGATGTCAGGGTCTGTCCTTGTTTTACTTCGAGACAGTTTATCCGTACAACAGCAGAATACCGTAAATCCAGTCAAGGATTTGTTTTCCTTTTATACGAAGAAGGCTGTAGCTCCAGGAACTTCTGTAAAGATACATGTATGTGTAACTGAAGAAAGACCAAAAGGTAAACATGTAAACACATAAACTTGATCTCGCCATTTGAAACGTAGATATATTCGATGATCAAGACAAACAGGAATCGAAAAATAAGTCTCTTTAATATCAATGGATGTTAAAAAATCGTTCTGTTTAATAGCCTTAGGGCAATTGCAAGTGTTTCCTGCTTAAACAGTTTTTTTATATTTTTTTTATTAATAATAATAATAATATAACTGTATGCTGATGATACAGAATCGATGGCTTTCTTAAATATCATTTAAATGACTTCCTCATCCATTAAAGACATCTGTTTATGATTAAAAGGCAGGCTATTTGGAATAGCCTTCAGAATAAATCAATTTAAATGAGTTGAATTAAAGTCAATCTTATAATCACTAACGATATTCACTGATCTGAGGTAATAGTGGCCCAGTAATATATAAATTTGTCCAGCATAAAATATTTATTACTTTTCAATGTCTAGTGGTAGTTTTGGCGAGGTAATCTGCCTCTCGCCCTGCTCCAGTTGGAGATGACAGCCCTTGAAGGGCCTGCCGGAACAATCCAGCCGGACAAAGTGTCAACAACAGGCCTTGCTGTTAAATATATTGGGTGCTACCTTTTGCTGCGATATTTCCCAAGAAATAATCTATGCTTCAGAGACAACTCTAAATGGGCCTTACCTAAGGTTATGATAGAATCTGCAATAGAGGACTACCTCAGGGTCAATATTTTTATTAAAAAGAGGTATCAGAGGGCATAAACCCAGACATAACAGTTTTAGAACCTCCTGAAGATAACAATCCTGAGCCGCTTAGGGCAGGGCATGACAAATATCCTGGTCCAACAAAGGTCGCAATAATCTCTTGCATTTAACTGATAGAGGATAGTAGAATGTCAATTACTTTTTCTCGACCCTTTTTATTGGTATCTTGGTTGATCACAGAATCATTAAAGACATCATCCCCCTAAAAGATTTTGGGGATGTCAAACTTAGTTTCTTGTGTTTACTCCATGAATTCATCATACAAACTTTGAGGATCCATGATATCTAAACCTGATCCATTATTAGTTACCGGTACTTAAAATGTTATTGTATACTTTTTATCTTCATGATGCACTGATACCGCATCTTCAAAATCATGTGATGCAGGTCTATTAGCCGACCTAACAGACTGATGAACATCAATTACCATCAAGACTTTGATTTTAAGATGGATTGTTATATTAAATTAGTGAAGATTGGACATCAAGGAAACCTGGTTTTGAAGAAACTCAAATTCATTTTTATCTACTAAAATGCCACCACCTGAAAATATTACTTGCATTATGATTTAAGCCTATAGCAGTGGCCGTTACGGCTCATTTTGTCGTAACGACATTATTTGTTGCAGGCTTATTAATAACAACCTTTTTATTAGATCTACTTATATACTTATTATTACTACTGGTATAAGGGTAACCCTCTTTACTATTGTTAATATTATGTTAATAATCAGTACCGGTAATAATGCAAAATAATATTACTTTCACTATGAATATGATTCAAGCCTATAGCAGGGGCCGTAACGGCTCATTTTGTCGTAACAACATTTTTTGTTGCAGGCTTCTTAATAACAACATTTTTATTAGATCTACTTATATACTTATTATTACTAATAGTATAAGGGTAACCCTCCTTATTATTGTTAATATTATGTTAATAATCAGTACCGATAATAATGCAAATTAATATTACTTTCACTATGATTCAAGCCTATACTATAGCACGGGCCATAACGGCTCATTTTGTCGTAACGACATTATTTGTTGCAGGCTTATTAATAACAACCTTTTTATCCCCATAAACATTGCCACATGGGGACCATATGGGGAAAAAATGGGCTGTGCGCCCAGGTGATACCACAAGGTCCCCATATAGGACCCATATTATCTTACCACATACAAATGTACGCAAATACAATTTATTTTCATATATATATTAATATCACAGAGACAAGCCAAATGGTATAATGGTTACTTCTTTTTTACATTGATAATCTGACCGTATAGTGTGTGTATCTGGGGCCAATATGGGTCCTATATGGGATTTCCCACATTAACAACTCTGTTTTTGTACACTTGGGGCCAATATGGTGTCCATATGGGATTACCCGTGTTTGTATCTGGGGATAATATGGTATCTGTATGGGATTACATATAACTTTTGCCTATCTGGGGCCAACATGGTATCTATATGGGATTATATAAAGTCAGAAATAATGATACATGTTTTTATAGAAATATTACATTCCCATCATTATAATACATACCCCATCAATTAATGGTGGGCAAGAATTGTGATTGTGGCCCAAATTCGGTTGAGGTGCCACACATTTTGAATTAACCCAGATACATTCCAAGTCTTTACCCTTAACCATACACTGAGAACAATCTGTATAGTCATGACAAAAGTCCAAACTGAACTTCAGTACCTAAAATGAAAAACAAACAAAGCATTTGATGCATCTGAATTATTTTATATAGACAACATAAAATATAATTGTTTTTATTTCTTATTTACATGAACTATATATATATATCAGTTTTATATTCTTTATTGATATTGTGATATTATTCATGTGTTATATTTTATGGTAAAGTGCATCTGAACATGTTTATCATGAAAGGAGCGCTATATAAATACATGTAATAATAATTAATAATTATCTCAACTAAACAAGATATTTTAATAAGCTCAAAGTTATTTCACCAATGCAGAATGGAAAAGAAATTATTTATGTAATTCATTATATGTAGGTGTATATAAAGCACCACTTAAGAACAAGCACAGGAATCTGACCTTCTCAGGGGCGCTGGAACCCGGGTACCAGGGTATACAAATGCTACCCTGCCCTTTTCTGGGGTATAAATGTATACCCATGCCCTAATGATGAAAGTTTTCAACCTTTTTACTAGTCTATTCATTTGTAAATGATAGAATTGCTCATGATACGAAAATTGTTAATAATCAGGCTTTTGTCTCTTTCATTATCATGTATTTTAAACGGTTTTATGTTGGAATTTGGAATGCTAGTAGAGGCGCTCTAAACAGCATTCTCGGAATTGACAAATTTCAAAATTTTTTAGAGGCCGGGGGGAGAGAGCCCCCCCCCCCCCCCAAGAACTCCCCTATCTTTTGGTACCCTGGCCCTCGTGCCGTTCCGGCGTCCCTGGACCTTCTAATCGTATATATATATATGCATACACCATACCAAACTAGACAATATATAATAAAAAAAGAACAGGAATGCAATGCCTGTTGAAGCCACGATTTTACCTGCTCTCGCTTCGGCTCGTTTTTTTTCAACAATTCGTAATGTCAGGCAATCAAACCTCTGTCGATTCACTCAGATATGTTTTTTCTTCAATCTAGCCATTTGATTTGCATAAATACTCCCCACAAAACGATATCATAGCCAATTGTTTCCAATATTTACATTATTTTCGTTCGTTGACGTTTGTCATTGAATCCATGCTCTGACTTCACACAAAAACCTAACTAAACTCTGAAGTCCTGTATACTTCCGCCTCAAAATCATGAATATTCACCAAAACCTGGCAGAAAAAGTATATTCAAATCCTCTTCTTCGATTCTACACCCAAAAGTCAACAAAAATCGCCATGCAAACGAGGGAAAATGGAAATGGAGAGAAAAACTAAAAATATCTTTGGCCCTTGTTTCAATGGTCTAGTCACTGCGGATTGATTTTGTGTGACTTCAGCGCATGGATTCAATGACAGGCATTGCATTCCTGTTCTTTTTTCATTATATATTGTCTAGTTCGGTATGGTGTATGCATATATACGGATAGAAGGTCAGATTCCTGTGGAACAAGATCCCTTGAGCTGACCCTACCCCTCCTTAAAAGGGATAGGTGAGTCCATTGAGTTTAAATTCTTACAAGAAATTCTGAAGGTGCTAAAACTCTCTTCTACACTCAAAGCCATAAGAAAACACAATGCCAAATTCAAAGTTTATTTCCTAGCTACTTCATTTAATTTTCAGATTTTGCTTTTCAGATAACAACTTACTTTCATTTTCAGCTTTATTTTTCCGTCTACATTTCCCCTTATCTCTTTTACATAATAACATTAACATTGTGTTGTACATATTGGACTTGTATTTGACATTGATTTTGATTTTGATTATTGGTTGGTAATTTGTAATTGGTGTTTTGATATGGAACTTTGGCTTTTGGATGTGATCAGTGAATTTTCATGTTGGTGTTGTTGAGCTATATTAGTATGGTGGTGTGTATATATACTGTAATTATATTATTTTGTGAATATTAATGGGTTTCATATATTGTTAGCTGCGTCAGTTGACAATAGTATTTGGAGATTGCGTTTAAGAATCGTGATATTGTTGTGGTGTTGTAATATTGCAATTTATGGATTGTGTTATTTCATTTGTTGTGATTTATTGTGATTATATTTTTCAAGATATACACTTTTGTGTTAATATTTTTCATATTAACACGTGTGTGTGTTTGGGTCTTGAAGGTGATATTCATGTGTGTATATTTTGCGAATCATACTCCTGTGCATTGATTGTTTTATTTGCGTATTATTTTTGTTGATTAATGCGATAATCATTTGTGATTTGATTTCCGATTGTAGTGTTGTGAATATTGTGTTTGCGTGTTTTACTATTATCAACTATGGATTGTGGTGACACATGTGAAGATGCTGAGGACAAGGAGTTGATGAAGGACATAGCAAGCTTGATATCATCTATTCAGGATTTACAGAATGAAATAAGCAGCTTTAAGGCAGATGCGTGTTCTAAACCTGTTTCGATGTATCCCACTCATCAATACAGTGTGTCCTGTTACAGATGTGGTGAACTTGGTCATGTTGCCAAAGGTTGTAGACAATGCACTTCGACTTGTAACGCACCACGGTTAAACTGTTGGGTGTCTCCGACGAGGGACAGTCTGGAGACACTGTTGATAGTAGTCCCCCACAGATTATTGGAAAGAGTAATATTACAGCTGTTCAAGTAAATGAAAATGACACATCAGCACTGTTAGACACAGGTTCTACAGTATCTACCATCACAGAATCTTTCTTCAAGTCATATTTGGAAACAGACGAATGCTGTATAACACCATTGGAAGAGATAATTCATATAGAGAGTGCTGGAGGTCATCGTTTACCATATTTAGGTGTTACATGTTTATCTCTAAGAGTTCCCAGCTTAAACTTGTCTGTAGTAAAGAATTTATTTCTTGTTGTGCCTGACACACCGTATGGAAAGACTGTTCCAGTCTTGATCGGAACCAACATTCTGCGACCTATCTTGAATCAGGTGTTAGCCAAGCATGGTCATGATTATTTAAATCAGACTGGGATGCCTGCTACCTGGAGTTGCACTTTTAGATGCATGAAGATTCAGGATAAGAAGACAGAAGGAAGAGTAGGCCTTGTTAAATGTGCAGAAACATCATCGTTAGTATTAGGCAGCAACAAATCTATGTGTTTAATAGGGAACATCAGTGATTGTCAACTTACAGGAAAACATCATGTTATATTCCAACCTACATCAGAATCTATGTTACCATCATCAATGGAAGTAACACCAGCATTCCTTGAGGTAGATTTTGACAAAGTGGAACCAGTTATAGTGAGAATTTCCAACTTATCTCTATCGCCAATTCGTGTTTTTCCTCATTCTGTGATGTGTGAGCTACAGATAGCTGATTTAGTTGATCAACCAAGTGCTACGGACATGAACATAACAGCTAGTTCCACAGCTACTGCAAAAGACTTCATGGATTCGATCGATTTTTCATCGTCGTCTGTTAGTGGAGATCGTTTAGCGGAGTTGAAGGAATTTCTTCGTAGCTGGTCATCAATCTTTTCGCAGCATGATACGGATATAGGATGTGTAAATTTAGTGGAACACAAGATCAAGCTTACAAATGAGACTCCGTTTAAGCAACCTCATCGAAGAATTCCACCATCAATGTACGATGAGGTGAAGAAACATCTGAAAGATTTACTAGAAGGTGGCATCATACGCAGGAGTCACAGTCCTTGGGCATCACCGATTGTACTTGTGCGGAAGAAAGATTCATCTCTTCGGATGTGCGTAGATTATAGGATGCTCAACCAGCGTACTGTTCGAGATGCCTATGCTCTACCAAGGATTGAAGAGATGTTAGATAATTTAGTTGGTGCCAAATATTTTTCTGTGTTGGATATGAAGAGCGGCTACCACCAAGTGTCTATCAAAGAAGAAGACAGAGCCAAGTCAGCATTTACTGTTGGACCTCTTGGGTTTTACGAGTTTGTTCGTCTCCCTTTTGGATTGTCAAATTCACCGGCCACGTACCAACGCGTAATGGAGGATTGTTTAGGTGATCTTAATCTTAAAATCTGTGCAATATTCATCGACGACCTGATAATATTTAGCAAGACTTACGAAGAACATCTTGAACGTATGTCTATGGTTTTTAACAGATTGCGACAACATGGTATTAAACTCGCTCCTAAAAAGTGCAAGTTCTTTCAAGAGCAAGTGAGGTATTTAGGACATATTGTGTCTGCTGAGGGGATACGTACAGATCCTCAGAAGACAGAGAAGGTGGAGTCTTGGCCTAGACCAACTAATGTGGAGGAGCTGAGGAGATTTCTTGGGTTTGTAGGATACTACAGGCGTTTTGTGAAAGATTTTTCAACTATAGCCAAACCCTTGAATGATCTGCTGATAGGAGTTGGAGGACCAACTAAGAAAAATGGGGGAAGAAAGGTGCAGAACAAGAACTCTGTGAGAGAATGGGCCTGGAAGCAACAACAAGAAGAAGCCTTTGTGAAACTGAAATGTTGCCTAGTAAATCCACCCATACTAGGATATGCAGATTTTACCAAACCATTTACAGTACACACTGATGCTAGTGGGCAAGAATTAGGCGCTGTGCTTTATCAGGAACAGGACGATAAGCAACGAGTCATCTGTTATGCCAGTAGAGGACTATCTAAAGCCGAGAGGAACTATCCTGCGCATAAACTGGAGTTTTTGGCTTTAAAGTGGGCTGTCACAGAAAAATTCCATCAGTATCTTTACAGCAACAGCTTTACTGTGTTTACAGATAACAACCCCTTAACTTACATTCTTACCACAGCTAAGTTAGAAGCCACAGGCCATCGCTGGTTAGCAGCACTTACCAACTACAATTTTTCCATCAAATACAGACCTGGCAAGAAAAGTGGAGATGTCGATGCCCTAAGTAGATTAGGAGATACCAACAGCGCGGAAAAAGATAGATTTATTGAGGTGAACGAAGAGATTATAGGAGCATTGAAAGATATCGAAACTGCCAGTGGGTACATTCATTCCATCAGTATGTCCCAACAAGTGATTCCGGATGCCATCAAGAATTCTTCGCCAATGGTTGACACCAAGACTTGGAGACAAAAGCAGCTTGAA